AGGACAGATCCAATTCCTCAGATCAAGACCCCCTCACCAGCGTCAAGAAACCTTAAGGGGAATAAAGAGATGAATATTAAAATTTTTGAAATTAAAATGACAAACTACATACCTAAATTATTATCCATTTTTGAGTCAACTTAAAAATATGTTTTTTTCCTTCCTTAAAAAAATATATTAGTAACTGATGTGTCTGTAGTGTCAGCTTCGGTGCTGACAGCTGACGAGGAGCTAGCAGCCCCGGTGCTGACAGCTGACGAGGAGCTAGCAGCCCCGGTGCTGACAGCTGACGAGGAGCTAGCAGCCCGGTGCTGACAGCTGACGAGGAGCTAGCAGCCCCGGTGCTGACAGCTGACGAGGAGCTAGCAGCCCCGGTGCTGACAGCTGACGAGGAGTAGCAGCCCCGGTGCTGACAGCTGACGAGGAGCTAGCAGCCCCGGTGCTGACAGTGACGAGGAGCTAGCAGCCCCGGTGCTGACAGCTGACGAGGAGCTAGCAGCCCCGGTGCTGACAGCTGACGAGGAGCTAGCAGCCCCGGTGCTGACAGCTGACGAGGAGCTAGCAGCCCCGGTGCTGACAGCTGACGAGGAGCTAGCAGCCCCGGTGCTGACAGCTGACGAGGAGCTAGCAGCCCGGTGCTGACAGCTGACGAGGAGCTAGCAGCCCCGGTGCTGACAGCTGACAGAGGAGCTAGCAGCCCCGGTGCTGACAGCTGACGAGGAGCTAGCAGCCCGGTGCTGACAGCTGACGAGGAGCTAGCAGCCCCGGTTGCTGACAGCTGACGAGGAGCTAGCAGCCCCGGTGCTGACAGCTGACGAGGAGCTAGCAGCCCGGTGCCCCGGTGCTGACAGCTGACGAGGAGCTAGCAGCCCGGTGCTGACAGCTGACGAGGAGCTAGCAACCCCGGTGCTGACAGCTGACGAGGAGCTAGCACCCGGTGTGACAGCTGACGAGGAGCTAGCAGCCCCGGTGCTGACAGCTGACGAGGAGCTAGCAGCCCGGTGTGACAGCTGACGAGGAGCTAGCAGCCCCGGTGCTGACAGCTGACGAGGAGCTAGCAGCCCCGGTGCTGACAGCTGACGAGGAGCTAGCAGCCCCGGTGCCCCGGTGCTGACAGCTGACGAGGAGCTAGCAGCCCCGGTGCTGACAGCTGACGAGGAGCTAGCAACCCCGGTGCTGACAGCTGACGAGGAGCTAGCAACCCCGGTGCTGACAGCTGACGAGGAGCTAGCAGCCCCGGTGCTGACAGCTGACGAGGAGCTAGCAGCCCCGGTGCTGACAGCTGCGAGGAGCTAGCAGCCCCGGTGCTGACAGCTGACGAGGAGCTAGCAGCCCCGGTGCTGACAGCTGACGAGGAGCTAGCAGCCCCGGTGCTGACAGCAGTAACTTAGACAAAGTTCTGTTACTAGAAATGCTGCACACATATTCTAACTTTAATTAGTAAATATTTATGGCAAAAAATTACCTTAGGTAATAAATTTTTATAATTAATCCGTGTATAATTTTTTAACGGGGAAGCACTAAACAAATAAGGGTCGTAGAGCACCCGGGCTGAGTGGTAGTCAGGCTTAGATTCGAAGTACTTCCAATGTTTGGTGGGTAGATCTACAGCAGTTTCAAGACTGTCAGCCGCAAGCAACACTAGGAGCGACTGTGTCAGCCGCAAGCAACACTAGGAGCGACTGTGTCAGCCGCAAGCAACACTAGGAGCGACAGTGTCAGCCGCAAGCAACACGAGGAGCGACAGTGTCAGCCGCAAGCAACACGAGGAGCGACAGTGTCAGCCGCAAGCAACACTAGGAGCGACAGTGTCAGCCGCAAGCAACACGAGGAGCGACAGTGTCAGCCGCAAACAGGTCACCAGTCATTCCTGAGTTAGACCTCGAGTACTTGCGAGGGAACAAGACCTCGAGTACTTGCGAGGGAACAAGACCTCGAGTACTTGCGAGGGAACAAGACCTCGAGTACTTGCGATGGGAACAAGACCTCGGTACTTGCGAGGGAACAAGACTCGAGTACTTGCGAGGGAACAAGACCTCGAGTACTTGCGAGGGAACAAGACCTCGAGTACTTGCGAGGGAACAAGACCTCGAGTACTTGCGAGGGAACAAGACCTCGAGTACTTGCGAGGGAACAAGACCTCGAGTACTTGCGAGGGAACAAGACCTCGAGTACTTGCGAGGGAACAAGACCTCGAGTACTTGCGAGGGAACAAGACCTCGAGTACTTGCGAGGGAACAAGACCTCGAGTACTTGCGAGGGAACAAGACCTCGAGTACTTGCGAGGGAACAAGACCTCGAGTACTGCGAGGGAACAAGACCTCGAGTACTTGCGAGGGAACAAGACCTCGAGTACTTGCGAGGGAACAAGACCTCGAGTACTTGCGAGGGAACAAGACCTCGAGTACTTGCGAGGGAACAAGACCTCGAGTACTTGCGAGGGAACAAGACCTCGAGTACTTGCGAGGGAACAAGACCTCGAGTACTTGCGAGGGAACAAGACGACCCTAGTACTTGCGAGGTAACAAGACGACCCTAGTACTTGCGAGGTAACAAGAGCCTAACAAAACGTGCCCAACACCTGGGTGTCTTAATTGAGAAACCTATCACCTACACAACGGACTTTTTCGATCTAATATACAGGAACGAGGATAAAGATGCAAAGCCAAAGAGGTGCAGTAGTCTAGTCATCGTGTATGTTGGGGGGGATGATTACCCACTAGTGGATGTGGGTAATGTCCATAAGGTGAAGCAGAAAGTTAGTAGTGCTGAACGTATCTGGACAATGTAACTACCAGAGTGTTCTCGTGTTAGACAATTATTGTTACATCAAAAGGCATATATACAAGTAATACTGACCATGAGAGACTTAACACTTTCATTGGAACAACTTACCGCCTGTACAGCAAGCTTTTTCACTGCCAGAAGAGATACCTAGGGGTTGCCCTGTAGTATACGGAAAGTGGACGTGTATTATTCCCTGTAAGCGAACGCGTTCTATTCCTGTCAGGCAGTGGCCAGGACAGCAGCAGATGAGAGGTGTTTAGTTCAGTACCAGACGGGTGGTCACGAGGTGAAATTATGTTTGAGTAGATAATTTAGGCAAGTTTTAGTGTATTCTATTTTGTGTATTTCCTGCTCTCGTGTTTATTTGTAAAGCCCTAGTATGCAGGGGCCTGTGTTTTGGAGAGTATTAATGTTTCCACTGTAGGCTATGTAGCCTGCAGAAAGGGAGGGGGGCGGGGTGTCGTGGAGCCTCCTTGTTCATAAATGTTCATTTATTTTGTTTTAACTCATTAGTAGCAGTGTGCTAATGAGTTAATGTGATTTTTTTTTTGCGAGTAGATTGTAAGTTGTATGTATATATATATTTTTGTATAGGAGAGTTTTTGTGTCCTTCCTTATACAACGTTAATTTTTGCACTCCTGCTTAATTTGTATGAGTACATGCTGGCCCAAGGTTCGCTGTGTTTTCATTGTAATTTTATAACCCCTAGACAGTGTGAGCAGCCTTTAGGAGCCAGGAACATTAATTAAGTTACGACTTCAAAGTCGTATCACCCTTGATATAATGATACACATTAACACGGCAACACCATGGAATCTTTATACAGAGGATGACTTACATCTTTGCTAACCACTGGCTCACTTATGGGCGTGAGCAATTTCCACCAGTGGGTCCCGCCTAGCTGACTCATAAGAACATAAGAAAAGAGGAACACTGCAGGACTCAACTGCTGCACCTCTCCTGTCTCCCATGTACAAGTCTGCAGCCTCATGCCATATTAGATTGAAAGTGCCTGAGAGACAGGCGATAAGTCTCATCAATAGAGATGCACACGTGTCCTAGCTTGTCGTGCACGTACGTACGTACCTTAGATGTAATGAGAGATTATAACTGAAAAGCCCTAAATCCGTAGTTGGTCAAACAGCAATGGAACAGCAGCTTATTTTATTTGATCTACGGGTGTATGGTAGTTAGTTATTTTGGAATAAGACTTTCAGCTTCAAGGAACCTCCCTTGAAGGGACCACAGTGAACAGGAGAAACATCGCATCTAAAGAACAGAACATGTACTCGTATAAACCACATCTGGACCAACTACAGTCAACATGGTTCTGGTGCAGCATAAACAGCAGCGGCAGTGTAGCTTCACAGTGAACACGTACAAGACAAGCAAAAGTACACTCGCTCAACATCGAAAATACCACCATCGCTCAACACCACCGAACATTAAATTAACCTTGCTTAACATAATCTATGTAACCTGGCGCTTCGGAAAGTCTCATGCCTTTAATATTCACAGAATGCACTAGATCCGTATAGGTCATTCAGCACTTGTCAACCCTCGGTAGAGATTCTCCCCATCAGAGTGGTCCAACATGCTGAGGTCGAATGCCCACTCTTGACAATCATCTTTAGTAAACTGGTATGTTCACCGGCTCGACACTACAAGTTAACACCGTTAATAAGTGTTCTTCTCACTGTCTGGAGGATTATCTGGAGAGAGTTCCGGGGGTCAACGCCCCCGCGGCCCGGTCTGTGACCAGGCCTCCTTAGGTCAGTGTCCCAGGATGCGACCACACACCAGTCGACTAACACCCAGGTACCCATTTTACTGATGGGGAACATAGACAACAGGTGGAAAGAAACACGTCCAATGTTTCTACTCTGGCTGTACGTAACCTTTTTTGTTTTTGTTACAAATAACCGAGGCTGAAGTGAGGATGTCCGTCAACAAGGCAACCATCGTAATTTTATCTTAACTGGCACAATTTGCTTAGGGCATCCAAGCTTAAAGTAAACTGAAGCACCCTCCAGCCTAATGTTTACCTAGCAAAATAGTGATTTTTTTTTTTAGATTTGTATGAATGTGTATATTAAAGTTTCAGATATACAATACCAAAACTCCCCTTTCCACTTTTTTCTACACTACTTACCAAAGTTAGGATAATCAAAAGTTATGCACATTACATTAGGATATAATTTAAAAAAAATGCTATTAAAATCAATTTTATATCACATGCATGTAATATCCTCTAATCAGGAGCAAATAATTAAGTGGCTGTGAATAATGAATAAAGCTGTAATATATTAATTTTTAGGCAGGTAACACCCAAATTTGATCACCTGCACCCAAAAATGGAAAACTAAGATGACGGTTTGTAATTTAATATATATATATTTGCGGAAAAAATGAAGATAACAGATTTACAGACTAAATAAATTATTCCTAGGGAGTAAACAAGTTAAAACTTTATAATATATAACAAGAAATTGTGTAACAAACCGTGCAAGTTTTTGGTGGTATTGTCGGGGATTTTTAGCAATGGTTGTAGTTTATACCTGCGACGACCTACTCTTTTGTAGTGGAGTGTGATGACCAACATTATGACCATCAGTGCCAAAGTTAACAATGTCCACCAGATGATAACGTTGGTGATGGGAGATTTTATGATGTACAAGACTATACTCATCTTGGAAGCCATCTCTGGTGTCATTTCTGCCAGCACTTCAAACCACAATGTTGGTAGATACACATCCGGGACGCTTCTCAAGATGCTGCAAAGACAACAGATAATTTTAATGAATTATTATTATAATCAAGGGGGAAGCGCTAAACCCGGAGGATTATACAGCGCCTGGGGGGGGGATGTGGAAGGCATTCAGGCTTAATTCGGGGAAACTGGAGCACAGATCCAATTCCCTAAATCAAGAGCCCCTCACCAACATCAAGGAACCTTCCTTGAGGGGTAATTTTAATGAAATGACACAATGGAAAGGAACCTTAGACGTTTCGCCCTCGTCTTGAATTTGTGAGTGGTGGAGCACCGACAAAAGTTTAAAGTGCCTCCCGAAATCGTCAGCTGCAAATTTTAGCCACGACATGTACACTAAAAAAAATCAGCGTTACGAGATTATATATTGGCAACAAATTTTTTCTACTGTTTGTATAGGCTTCCATTGTGTAGTTATTTTATACCATCTCTCGACACCCATTTCGTAGAATAAAGGTCTTCAACATAGGTTAATGAAAATAATTTAGAAAGATCACCGACATGATCGCTGCATGTTGGTAATAATTCGAGGCAGACATACCAGCATAGTTCAGCTCTAATTATACAATTTTTCCATTTTTACTATGAAAAACTAGCAGTTTTGAGAGAAAATTTTTGAAAACTTGTGACGGTAGCTGAGCGATTCGGGAAACTTATCCCCGTATCCAGTAATTCCAGCTTTTCCTCCATTTTTTTTCTTAATGCACACAAAAGGAATATTAGATTGTGGTGAAGTTGTAAAGGCAGTTAAGTACCATCGCTGACGATGTCAAGACAATGAGACGAGTAATTCACAAGATATCGCATGCAAACTAATACGTTTAATATTATTACAGTCAGACATGACTCACGAAATCGTAATGACACGATTGCAAACAAACCATACCACGGGCGGGGATAGAACCCGCGACGGTCTGGAGTTTTGAGACTGATCGCGGGTTTTATCCCCGTCCGTGGTACGGTTTATTACAGTCAGAAGTAAGCACTAAACCCACAAGAGCCATACAGTGCTCATGTTCAATAAAATTTGTAAATTACCTATACAATCCAAAACAAGTTGGCCCATTTTTACTTGAACCTCAACTCAAAATATAATATACCTTTCATAAGATGTATTAGATATTTAAGCGGCGTTGACCCCCGGAAAGGTCCTTCAGGAGTCTTGTTGACCCCCGGAAAGGTCCTTCAGGAGTCTTGTTGACCCCCGGAAAGGTCCTTCAGGAGTCTTGTTCGCTTCAGTAACAACTTTCAGGATACTTCCGTGTTGAAAGCTTCAAGTATATCAGAAGACTAAGGTCATCGCAGAGAAAGTAAATTTGGGAATGACCTTTATACAATTGACGAAGGACATTTGCCCATGCCAATAGTTGTTTAAACAGTTTTCTAGTTACAGTAAACCAGTGGATAAGGTGTTATTAAACGAAGACGGAGAAAAAGGTCATTCACTTTAAGTACTTCTTCAGGGATAACTATCGGTAAATAATTAAAATTAAAAAAAGTATAATTTTAGAACTGTAGATTTAAAGGGAGACATACAGCGCGCACGCACACGCGCACGCACACGCGCGCACACACACACACACGCGCACACACACACACACAGTTACAGTCCAGGACGAGTAAGTTAATGTTACTCGTCCTGGAGTGATCAGATCGAAAGAGCTTAGGTGATGTAAAACTCTTATGTTTGTGTTTAGAAAATGATTAAGTACGTTCGAATCTGATTAAACCTTCAGCAATTTTATTTTTAGACTGATACTGCGAAAACTCAAAAATCTTTGCAGACGGTATATGGGCTGTTTTAAGCATACTGTATAGTTATTAAAATAATTTTGAAGCTTTAATCCTAAAAATCACTAGAAATTCTTCTAGTACCGAATGTGAACACAAATTTGACTAATCACTGAAGAAGCTATTTAAAAATGAGAAGAGTTTCCCTATTAAAAAGCTTAATATATGGAGAGTTGATGCGGCACTGAATAAACCAAACCTTGAATAAACCACTGGCTCGTGGGTAGTCACCTGGCGAGATGACTTAAATTTAGTTTAATTTAATTTCTGACTGGGGATGGAGGGGGGGGGGGAAGAATATTCCCCCCAAAACCTCCCACTACTCTTACATCCACTGACGTTTTGTGAGTACTCGAAGAGTGTACCAAGACAGCCAATGGCAGTGAATAGCTCGAGCTAATTTTTATTAAGCAAAACTGGGTGGGGAAAATGGGGGCTTAAGGCATATTATATTAATCTCAATACTTTTTACTGTTGTGCTTAATCAAGTCCTATTTTTAGGTTACAATGTATACAGCAGGAGGAATGGACTTACTCTATTCTATCGAAATGCATCATCTTGTGGCCTGGGTATGGAAGTACATGCATGTTGATCTGCAGTCTCGCAGCCACTCGCAAGGGAACACCCAGCTCCTGCAACACACACACGATCAAATCTTAACACCAGATCATCGTTTTTCATTATTTCAAAGCAAAATATACAGGAAAAACCTAAAACGTTGATAATGCTAATGTAACTTCACTGTTGGGAACGGACGTCAACTACTTACAATTTAAACTTTTCATAGTGAAAAACTTGAAAAATACTAAAGGAGCTGCTATGTTTAACAATGTTGATCAAATGGTCAGATTTGCAAAACTGTCTGCATTTAAAATAATTAAGCTGAAAATATCCTAAATACAAATTAGTAAAACATTTTTAGTTACCTTTGATACAATAAATTTAAAGTCGTGCTTAGATCTGAAAGTCAAACTTCGGGAATAGCTGTAGGAAGAAGGGAAGGGGAAGTGTCGACGTTAAAACGCTCTATTCAAGGAAATCTAACTCTTCTTTAACTCGAAGTGCTAAACTCTTAGACCTGCAGTTCCAGGAGCGGCAGGTCTACGAGTTTAACACTTCCCCGTGAGTACAATGACATTACATGTTGTATACAAAAGGTCAAAACCTTTCATCAACAAATGTCTTATTAGCAGTCTACCTGATCTTCACATCACGAGATCGGATCGGATCGTAAGATGGGAAGGAAGAAGGATAAGGAAGGATGGAAATAACTGGAAAAGGATGGGGAGGAGAGGAAGAGGAGGAATCAAGGCAAGTGGCCCAACCACTTTGGGACATGTGGTACAAAAGTACTGGAGACGTAGGGAGAGGCGCTTGACTGATGTCATTGCTTGGCTCACTAGGAGAGGATGGCGAAGGCAGCGGTAGGAGCTGGGAGTGTCAGAAGGAAGCAAGCAGGATGAGTTGGTTATGGTCTTAAACAGTTTATCAGTGCGGTATATTGTTTTCGAGAGAGTTGTATCACACTTATGGAAGAGCTGTAGCAGTATTCGTTGGTTTGGAGGTGGTGGAGTATCTGGTTGAGGTAGGGAATGGTCTTTCTTCGCTTTGGTACGATACAGTGTTGTCTTGGAGATGTTGGATGAGTTCTAGGCGAGTCATGCTTGCAGAGTATAGCCTCGTGGTGTAGAATTCGAGTCCTTTGTGTTTAAACCATGGTGTTCCAGGTAATCGACGCGAGCTAAGTAGAGAAGGCGGTGGTGGAGTAGAGGAAGGTGGTGTTGCTTCGTTTTCAACTTCAGTAGACGAATTAGAAGATGTTTCTGGTGGTAAGGCTTCTGATTGGTTGGATTCAGTGAGAGGTGGTGGCGGTGGAGGCTTCTCATTGGTCGTTGTTGGATTGACGTCACTAGTTGGTGGTGTTGTTGGAACTTCTGCAGAAGAGTTGGCGATTAAGTTTTTGGTGAATTTGAGAATTTCTTCAGAAGGTGGAGATGCTGGAAATGTAAATGAAGGCATGTTGTTTAATGCAAATAACTCGTTGTGTACGAATGGTATATAATACCGACATGTACATGAGGACATGTACATAACCTTCACGGCTACGACAACTACTACTACAACTAACCCATCTCTTTGGGAAGGACCTACTTCCACTGGGGAATCCCGCCTACCAGTGAATATGCCCTCGTCTGCTACACCTGACGTTACTATATAAGCGCCAGGATCCTTTCTTCTGCTTCAGAATCTCCACGACTATGGTGCTCTTCGCACCTACTCCTAGGTTGAGGGACTGATTACCTCATCTTCTGTACATAGTTCTACTGTCTTCAAGTTATGTCCTAGAATTTGTATTGATAAAGCCACTGGATGGCGAAACGTCTACAATAAAGATACCCAGATGTTGCACATGTGTCAAATAACTCGTTGATGGTAGAGTTAAATGATCCAGGTACAGCCATGTTTTGCATATGAGCGTATAGTAGACAGTAGTGAATCTTCGTTACGTCACATGTTGGAGGATTGATGGTAGTGGTGGTGGTGGAGGCGGGCTGAGTAGATGCTTGAAGTAATTTTGTAGTGTCTGCTTGTAACTTTGCAATTGCTGCATACGTTGGTGTGTTGTTAGGTTTTTTCTTTGCTGCATCTTGTGTTTTCTTCATAATATCCTTTCTTGTAGGACATTTTGCTGCCAGTGTATGGTGATCATTACTCTTGCAGTTTAAGCACGCTGGTTGTGTTGGAGCAGCAGCGGTGCAGGAACTGAAGGTGTGTCCCTCACTACCACATGTAGTGCAGAACTTCTTGTCTTTTACTGGACATGCTTTGGTGGTGTGATGGTATGAATAACAGCTCCAGCATGTTGGATGTAGTGATATCTCTCTGCTTCAATGTAGGTAGGGCTGATGTAGTAGTAGTAGACAGCAAGACCTTCGTTCAGTGCAGTGGCAGCCATGTTCACGTCGGTGAAGGTGACCTTTATCATGGACGTTGCATTTTGGATTTTTGTAATGCTGTCAACAGTAGCCCAAGTATTTTGCGTCTCGATGGATGACTTGAGTTCAGCAGGTGTTTGAGACGTCAGAACTTGTCCAGTTTTTTTAGGAATACTGATTTCCTTGCCCTGAGGGCAGGAGATGACGTAACAGTAAACCCTTGAGTAGTAAGAGTAGTGATGGATTCTGTAGTGAGTAACTTCTCTGCTTCAGCATCATCGTGACAACAATGAATGCTTCTTTCAGTGACAATATGGTGTTGAATTTTACTTCCAGTGCTCCCTGAACAACAGTTGCAAGAGCAATCTTCGTTGAATCATGAACGGTACCATTTCTTGGTTTGATCTTTACACGATTTGCGTAGCTCATCGTGTAAGTCAAGGCGATGACAACGCTGGTAAAGGTTCCTCTCCCCAACGGGGATCGTAGGGAGACAAAGTAAGGAGAGCTGCTATGACCTGCCTGGGCGAGTCAAGAGCAGAATCCAATTTTCTTTTTGATTTTCACACATCACCAGAACAATCCTAAAACTTTTTTTGAGAGGGGGCAGGACCCCCCCCCACTCAGTCATCTATTTGAGACTATTAACGAATTACAAATTTCACCCAACTTAAGTCTCCGTACCTTGGAAACGGAAATTTTAAAGTCTCACCGGAATGATATCTAGTATGAAGGCGTGTTTGGCGAGGTTGGGAGCGAGGCCGGTGACGCCCTCCAGGAGGAAGGGATCACCATTGACGAAGTGCGGGAAGGAGATGAAGGCTGGAGCACCCATGCGACACGACTCAGCGTTCAAGAGACCTACAACAGCAGCAGTATAAATGTCAGTATACAAGCTAGACTTCTGAGTTAGAAACAAATATATTTACCTTGGTCGGGAATATAGGAAGACTGAATTTAAAAAAAAAAAAATGCTTTCTAATCTCTTCACTGTTAAATTTATTATGCAATTGTTAAGAGACCTGCAAAGAAATTGCAGGTCTAAAAATGAACATCTGATTTTCTAGCTGCTTAGAAAATAATCTAAGAATGGCTCACTGTGAACATCGATGCAAAGTTTCATTTTAATTACCATTTGAAAGGTACTTAAGTCATTTACTGCCTAGTGGCAAGGCAAAAGTGTACCAGAATAACACCTTTGGTGTAGTATTATAAAAAAGAAGCGCTAAACCATAAAGGCTACCTTTGGTGCAGTCAACCAAGTATCATTTGTGGCATGAAAATAGACGGCACTTGGAAGATGCCAAGACTGTCCAGTGAGTGCTGCAAGGTGAGCCAGAGGTCACTGCTGCAGTGACCTACCCTCATGTTCTTAGTTGTACTACATCCTCGCCACAGGGTCGACACTACTGAATGGATCATCTTTTGAAAGATCAGCATCATATAACTTGCTCTGAAGGGTAATCCAACAAAAGGCTCACCTGTGGGGGCACATGTGCCCTTAACGCAGTAGCACTCCTTCCCCGGGACGATGGAGCCGTTAGCGAAAGTCTGGTTGGTGCCCCAAAAGCGGTTGGCATAGACACCCCTGGAGAAGGTCGTCTCCTTGAAGAACAACTCCATGCCCCTATGCAGAATCCAGATCAACGAGGGATTAAGATGCCTACAAGGTATCTCCAAAACATTTTTACATTAGCTTACTTATTTATTGACACTTAATAGATCTTTTCGGCATTATTCACATTTGAATCTGTTATATTGACGGCAATGAACCCTACGTACAAGGTAAACTAGAAAAGGTCTTTTGTACAGAGCAGGACATTAAATGTCCTGAACTGTACACAAGGTTCTTTTTCCAGTTTGTCGGTATCATCATACCGACAAACTGGAAAAAGTGATGATTGATGATAATGATAATCATGATGATAATTGATCGATGACTGTTCTCTTTCCCCCTGTTCATCTTACATGCAGAGATCAGAGCTGAAGACGACGAGGTGATCATTGTTGCTACCAGGAGGGAAGAATTCACCTGCTGATCCAGACACCTGGTTGCAGGGAGGCGAGAAGAAGGGAGTCTGGTGCTTCTTGTTCCACCAATCAATCATACCTGGTGCGCACCAACACCGTCACAAACAGGGAGAAAGATGGGATTCATATTAACCCTTTTAATTAAGAGTTGGAAGTTCATTATACGGCAACTACACTAATTTGAAACTATTATAATTAGTTGAGCTATTAAGAAATATAGAGTTGTAGAAATTACATATCCACTATTTTAATCTAGTGGGAAGTGCAAGCATATCAGGTTACCTAGGTTAGTTAAAGAATCTGCTCCAGTCTTCATGTTGAACAAACCATCGTAGTCACGAGACATATTGCGCTGTAAGAAAATAACATTTAATCAATCTTCCACATACCAAAGAGGGTTTATTTTATCCAAAATTCTTCGAGAAAAAAAAACCTTATAAACAGAGCATACGAAAATGTCAGCTTGTGTACATTTTATTTAAAGTACTAATCATATTACCTATTAAGTTCTTAGCCTGGGCGTCACAAGATTGAAAGTCATTTTCCTGTATAATTAAAATAATCGTTTCATATTTTACACGTGTGCTTGTTATCCTTACCCCTATTCCAGATAATCATGAAGCGCTAAACCCGTAGGGATTATATAGAACCTGTGTGGGGGGGGGGAGGATGGAAGGTATTCAGGCTTGGTTTGGGGAATTTGAGAGCAGATCCTGTTTCCTAGAATAAGAGCCCCCTCATCAGCATCAAGGAACCTCCCTTGATGGGTCTGTTCCAGAAATTAAAGCTATCAATTGGAGTTGTGTAATTAATCTCTGAATTTCACTTTTTTTTTTTTTCCTTTTTGTCAGTGGTAGAGCCTCTGGTTGACAGCAAGTCGGTTATAATAAACGTGACAAGGAGGTTCCCTTAGTCCAAGTTTCTTTCCTCGTGTTGGAGATTTTTGAGTTGCATGCAGTAACCTGACTGCCTTTTAATTTGGTATAGGGGGGGGGCTGGACTCCCCCCGTGGTAGCACCAAACTGTATGTTCGGGACTTCAGGGTAGAGGGCGGGTTTTAGGGAGTGACGTGTATGTATTATGAATGGTTATGTGCGTCTGTGTGTGTATGGTTGTGGCGTTGTGTGGAATTGAGATCTTGGATTAATCCTAAAATGGTCATGATAAAAAGCAATTTTTCAGTACATGTTCCAGCCTCTAGCAAGACTGAACCGGTTCCCGACTATGGCCGGGGTTTGGTGAAGTATGTTGGGTCTTTCCTGGGATTCCCGTTAGGTTTTCCGTCATTTGTAAGCGGAAGCCACGATGATATCACCGCTAAAAGTACACGTCATACTGGCCTTTAAGGGGAATGTTCATAAGCAGACCTTTTGGTGATGGTGGTAAAATTTTGATGAAGGGCAAACAGTTTCATTTGCCTAAGATTGTTTTCGTATATGTAGTAGCGGCCACCGCTGTGAGGGGGGGGGGTGAAATGTATAATGTCCTATATTGTAATCTTTGGGCATTCAAGTTCCTCAGGCAGCAGCTTTTGTGGGATATGTTGTTCTGTCACCCAGTGATATCACGTGTATTTATTTTTATCATTTATGATGCATATAGTCAGTTGATGTTCAATTAAGCACCTTTACTAATATTACTGTATATAAGCAAGGTATATTTTTTGTGGGTTTATAATTAGTTTGAGAAACTAAATATGGGCTTGGTCGGGGTACTGTGTGTCTTAGTGTTTCCTCATATGTAATTATACATGCTGATCTGTAAAAGTCTTATGTTAATTATGAAAGGCTTTTTGCATATTTTGATTCCTTTTTCAATATATGCAAAACCAAAAATAAAGAACACCATGTTTCAATTTCAAGAGTCATGTAGGTTTCTGATAGTTATTTTATATAACCATAGTACCATTGAGTGTACAATGTATTAGTTTATATGATATTGTTTTTGTACATAAAATTTCATACACAATATGAATAAGACTGTCAGGTTTTGGTTACATAGTTATCTGGTGTTTAAGGTATTTATCCGGTAGTCCTCTGTTTAGTTATATATATGTGGTTGTCTTACATAAAGTTATCACGTTTTTTTTGTTTTAAATCAATTATGAATGCCACACATGTATACTGTGTTCTTTAAATAAATAAAAAAAAATTGGTATAAACTTTCAAACGTATATCTTGAAAGTTTCAAATTAAACTTTTGGATGCTGTTGATGCATATGGCATTTTGGAATGGTATGGGCGAGGGATGGGAGGTATTAGACAGGTAATATCTCTGAACTTACAGCGATTTGTTAAGTTAGTTATATCTGAAAGAAAGTGCTAATCCAGCCATAACAGCTACAGGAATACCTTTAAGGTTGGCAGTGAACCAAGTTAAAGTTTGACTCCAGTGAGAAAACGGGAAAAAGCATTTTCCATGTTAACGATCCTATAATGATTGGGGACCTGGTAAAGGAATTCTTAAGTTATCTACTGAACTATACAAAATGTTAACTCGGAACAAACCTTGTAGAACCAGGCGAATTTGTCGAAGCTGACGATGGCAGAGTTAGTACCGATTATGTTTAAAAGGAAATGGTAGGAACCGTTCTTGGCTACCACTTCTTTCTGTAACCAGTCCAGCATAGGGTCCTGTGGAGAAAGTCAATTGTCACCAGACAATGGGGAAGCGCCTACATCCATATGGGGAATGGGAGACAATCAGGTTTGTGCCAAGGAAGAGTAACCGATTCTCCAGATCAAGACTCACTGCCCTCAAGCCACTATCTTCGAAGGAACTGCCGGACCTCTGGTACATATAGTGCATACGATAGTCGAACCCCATCCATCCTTATTATTATTATAATCAAAAAAAGAAGCGCTAAACCACAAGGGCTATACAGCGCTGCAGGGTAGGGAAGGAAGCGAGGGTATTGGATGGCAGAAGGGAGGAGGGATGATCAGTAGGTTACAGAAAACAGCGGGGCAGGGGATAGTACGGGGGTAGGGGGTAGCAAGAGATTGAAGTAGAAAGGGCTGAAGGTATCAGAATTTGTGAAGCAAGTCAGTTGTCAAAAAGTCAATGAGAGTGTCTGGATGAAAGGTGGGTCCATCAGCGAGAAGAGAAGGTAAAGAGCAGCAGAGCGAAGACGACGACGGAGGTAAATTCTGCGTGCTCGTTGATAAAGTGGGCAGTCCAACAGAATGTGGTTGACTGATAATGGAACTTGGCAATTCTCACAGAGGAGCAGGGCGCCTCAGCTGGCTGTGGCAAGTTGCCTTCAGAGAGGTAATGTGAGGTTTCCAGGATAACCTACGATCAAAGAGGAGGCCCAGAAACTTGACTATCACGTTCAGGGATACGGGAGCCATAGAGGTACAAAGGATGATCGGAGATAACAAAGCGTCTAGTGAAAGCAATTTGGTGGGTTTTAGTGCTGGAAAATTTAAACCCACGTGTGGTGGCCCAATTGGAAACACGGTCGATTGCATGCTGGAGAGAAACTAATAAGGTGTCAGTCAGCGCCTGCACAGGCAATAGCGAAGTCATCAACATAGAGTGATGACCAAATATTTGATGGAAGACTAGAGGCCAAATCATTAATAGCAAGGAGAAAAAGTGTTGTGCTCAGAACACATCCCTGGGGGACACCTTCAGCTTGGATAAAGTCCGGGTAGAGCACATTATTAACCCGAACACGGAAATGCCTGTCAGTTAAAAAGTTCTTAAGGAAGGATGGTAGATTGCCTCGAAGGCCTAAGGAGTGGGCTTGGGCTAAAATATTATACCTCCAAGTTGTGTCATATGCCTTCTCAAGGTCAAAAAAATATGGCAATAACTGAGTGGTTATTCGCAAAGGCATTACGAACATACGTATCCAAGCGTATTAAGGGGTCTATGGTAGAACGTCCCTTACGAAAGCCATATTGACGAGTGGAGAGACTGTTGTGTGTCTCTAAATACCACACTAAACGTCTATTTACTAGGCGTTCCATCACTTTGCAAACTGCACTGGTAAGAACAATGGGACGACAGTGGGAGGTTTCATGTCCCGTAGTGCCTGGTTTGCGGAAAGGGAGAACAATGGCGGATTTCCACAGTTGTGGAAGAACTCCTTGTGACCAAATAAGATTGTAAAGGTGTAATAGGACTGCAAGGGCTGACTGATGTAAATGTTGTAGCATACGCATATGAATGTCGTCGGGCCCAGCTGCCGATGATCGGCAAGCTGAGAGTGTTGCCTCCAGTTCTTGAAGTGTAAAAGGCACATTATACTGTTCTTCTCTGAGAGAAGAAAAGTCCAAGGGTGCTAACTCTCTGGCAGACTTTGAGGAAAGAAATGAGGGGCATAGATGGAGTCCCTGAGAAATACGGACCAGATGATTGCCAATTTCATTGGCAACATCTAGTGGGTTTGCTATATCAACACCGGCAACCCGCAGAACAGGAGCCGGGTCAGGAGAATATTTACCACTCAGTTTTCGTACTTTTTTCCAGACTGCACTCAGAGGAAGCAGAGGTGATGGTGGAGACAATCTCGCCAGCAAGTGCGTTTAGCGTCACGGATGACACAGCGAGCGATTGCATGCTTCTGCTTAAATTCAAGAAGTCTCTCTGGTTCTATTGTACCGGTACCTGCCCCATGCAGCGCATTTCAAACGTACTGCACGAGCACAAAGGAGACTACCAAGGCACGCATTTCTGAGAATGCCTGCCCAAAGTTTGGGGTATAGAATGAGAAGCTGCAGTTAAAACGGAGGACGAGAAGAGGTGTAAAAGCTCATCGATGGAGGACGAAGAAGGAACCTCTCTAAAAACAGTTAGGTGTGAGTAAAGGTTCCAATTTGCCTGATCAAATTGCCAGCGTGGGATGCGAAGAGGTGGTGAATATGAAGGGGAAGTAAGAATGATTGGGAAATGATCGCTGTCATGTAAGTCCGGAAGAAAAGACCAAGTGAAGTCTAATGCGGCGGAGGAAGAGCAGACCGAGAGATCGATGCAAGAGAGAGTGAGAGTCCGAGGATCAAAATGGGTGCGAGTACCTGTATTTAAAACATGGAGGGGTGGGTGGCAAGAAAAGCCTCTAACTGAATGCCACGGGAATCACAGTGAAACCCCCCAGAGGGGGGGGGGGGTTCTCACTGTGGTGGTGGTAATGATGAAACAAGAAAGGCAATATCCGGAATAGATAATGCCCGAGGAGAGAGAGATAAAGAACAGAGCGTATACCACCTATGCAAGTGGATACGGGCTGCTGTGTAATGCAGCGAAGTACGAACAAATAGCTGATGGTACGGAATATCAGTGCGTAGAAGAAGGGCACTTTCATTAAAGGTCCCATCAGGAAAAGGATCTGAAGAATACAATAAATTATAGCCTGAGATGGGAGAGATAACAGCAGAGTGTAATTTTGGTTCCTGTAAGCAAACACCAACAGGGGAAAACTGGGAGAGTAACATCTGAAGCTCACCCCGATTACCCCTGAGGCCGCGTATATTCCACTGTAAATAGGCCATGATTGGCAATGATAAAGATACCTGAAATCCACAGGTAAGGGTTCCTATGGACTAGAGGGGTTAGAAAAGTCCACATGCGGAGGCAGTGGAAAACGTTCAAGCAGCGAAGGAACGGTGCGCTGTGAAGAAAGGAGTTGCGCAGATGGAGTAGAGGAGAGAGAAGGAGCGGAGGGTGGATCAGTGTCCATTGATGGTTTGGTCTCTGCAATATATTCAGAGATTGCTTCAAGTGTTTCAGAATTCAGAGACGTTGTATGGGAGACAATATTGGAAATGGTAGGGAAAGGATGAGTAAAGATTGGAACTGTAATGGACTGTACCAAGGTAGGGGGGGACGGAAGGGTGGAGGGAACTGGAGAAGCATGGAATGGGACAGAAGAGGCAGAAACCTGGGAGGTGGCCGAAGAGGAAGAAACTTGGGAGGGAACAGGGGAGGAAGGTACAGTACGAGGAGGAGGGTGAACCTCTACACTTGTAACAGAGCCAGTGAGAGGGGGAGAACCAGGTACAGAGACAGGGAAGGGAAAATGAGGAGGTGGAAGATGGGTAGGAGGTGTTAACGGAGCTTTTTTTGACATTTGAGAAGTAGAGGGACGATTGGGAGGTGGTGTCATACGAGATCTCGTCGCTACTGAGGCTTGTGAGAGAACACGAAGAAACAAGATCAGACTGAGACGTTGAAGTAGGGACGTCTGAGCCGAGGACAGCAAAAGAATTAGCTACAGGAGTGACTATGGGAGAGGTAACAACAGAGGTGGGTGCAGAAGATGGGATACCAGAAGTGGGGGGACGTTTTGAAACACGGGAATAAGAAACACGAGGTAGTCTCCCTTGGAGGCGGAGATGAGAAACTGCCATGGCATAAGGGAGACCTGTCTCTTTGAGGTAAAGGATTTCCCACTCGTTTAAGTAGACTTGACAACGGCAAGAGTACGAAGGGTGAGCCTCATGACAATTAAGGCAAGAGGGAGGTCGATTGCAAGACGTATTAGAATGGTCATCGGCACCACAGACTGGGCATTCGGCGATAGATCTGCAATATTTCGCTGGATGGCCAAATCGCCAGCAATTTCTACACTGTTGCGGTGTAGGGATCACCTTTCGAACTTGTAACCGATGTTCTGCTACATAAACTGAGGATGGGAGTTCACGGCTGTCAAAAGTTAAACGAGCCACATTGCTAGGGTATCGTCTCCGCCCGCGGGCAGGAAGAACGTAAGTGTCTACCTTGAGGATTGGGAGATCTTGGAGTTCCAGCTGTTCAAGAATGTCAGTGCCACATGTTTGGAAATTTTGTTGAACTATGGTATGGGGCAGAATGATGGTACCACTACAAGAATTGAGGGAATGATGCTTTTCAATAGTTACAGGAACAGTATCGATATGGGAAAGACGAGAAAGCTCATGAGCCTGGGTAGCATTCTGTACGGTGATGATGCGCGTACCGCTCTTAAGAGCATGAAAAGAAATATCTTTACCAACATGGCGTAGGAGTGCCTTGCCAATACTGTGGTCAGAAAGATAGGCAGTAGAGGAAGTCGGTCGTAAAGTGAAGAATTTAGTCCACTGTGCAGTCTGAAACTGAGCTTGGAAAGGTAGTGAAGGATGTGTCGATCTTTTCTGAGAAGAACGAGAAGGTGGAGAAGTATCATCAGCAGGTAATTGTCGTTGTCGTTTAGGCGTGGGACCAGAGTTGGTCCGATGTGGAACGGGCCAGCGATTCGAAAATTGCCGCACCCCCCACCGTAGAGGGAGAGGCCGGAAGCATAGTCAGAGGAGAGCGAAGGTCAGATAAATTGAAGGAGTCAGTCGAGGCCTCAGTACCTGAAGCGGGTGAGGAAACAGCACCGGCAAGAGGTACAGAGGCATGAGGAGTGTCCGAAGAGTGGTCCAAAGACGAGGCGGGGTCAGAACGGGGTGCGGTATCAAGAAGGGGCCCGGGGGTAGCAGGTTCATGGACTAGGGCTGCCATGGTTAGGTTACTTCTTTCTTTTTGTTTTTAAGAAAAAAAAAGAAAAAAAGAAAATATAAATAAAAAAATAAAAAAAGGGGGGACCGGGGAGGGATAGTTCCTAGGAGGAATGAAAGGGCCAGAAATCTCCCTCTGCGCCCAAGAGGACCTCAGCACCGCAAGTAGCGCAGATGCAGCATGGAACCCGTGCCATACCCTACCCATCATGCCAGTAAACCGGCAATCCGGGATAGCAACCTCACATCTGCCGAGCTACCTCGGTGGACAAAAGAGAGGGCGGCCGGAAATCCGCCACAAAGCATACCTCCTTCGGCCACCACCCCCGGAATCCGAAAGGTGGCTTCCAGAGATACACCCGTCGCCCGAGAGACACCCAAAGCCACCCTCTGGGATACCGGAGAGGGATCAGGACATCCCCAGGCAATCCAGATTCCACGGCAAACTACGCCACCGCCAAGAACCTCAACGGAATGGGATGGACCCCGGTACCCTTTCCCCTACCTAGGAACTAGTGTGCCTGTGGGGAAAAAAAAAAAAAAAAAAAAAAAAAAGGGCAAAATGGAGGGGTGGGGAGGAGGAGGAAAGGAAAAAGGGGAGGATGGGATAGGGAACGGGGGATTGGGGGGCAATTAGGTTCGGTCTGAGGAAGTAGACCAACAGGTCTAATTCCTCAGACCAAGAGCCTCTTCACCACGCCAAGGAGCCCCCCTTGAAGAGGCCATCCATCTTTAACTTTGAAGTTCCTCCCAACTAGTCTCTTACACTTATCAATCTCTACAGCATCTTTCGTGACATCTTCCATTATTTTTTAGGGGAAAATAATGTTACCCTGAACAATGGTAAGTCCCACATAAGTAACTTCACTTTAGACAATCTTTAGCTTCCGTGGATACTGACCCTATAGCGGGATACATGCCTCTTCTCGTGCTCTTTAGAGTTATCTTCACGCCGACAGATTTTTATTTTTATTAACACTGACCGTTTACCACCAAGGCAGGGTGACCCGAAAAAGAAAAACTTTCATCATTCATTCATTCCATCACTGTCTTGCCAGAGCCATGCTTACACTATAGTTATAAAACTGCAACACTAATACCCCTCCTTCAGAGTGCTGGCACTGTACTTTCCATCTACAGGACTCAAGTCCTGGTCTGCTGGTTTCCCTGAATCCCTTCGTAAATGTTACCTTGCATACACTCCAACAGCACGTCACGTCCTGAAAACCATTTGTTTCCATTTGCTTTCTTACTCACGCGTGCTTGCTGGAAATCCAAGCCCCTCGCACACAAAACCTCCTTTACCCCCTTCACATGATTCATTACCTTTGTACCTAGTTCAGCTATCAAGACTTTGGGGGCCCAGTCCCTGGACCCATTATGTGCCTCTAATCTTCTGACTACCGCCCAAAGGATGGGTATGGGGTGCATAACAAACATTAAACTAACCCCTCCCTCCAACCTTTCCTAGGCCGACCCCTACTCTTTCTTCGCTCCACTACAGATTTATACGCTCTCGAACTCATTCTATTTCGTTCCACCCTCTTTACATGTCTAAACCATCTCAATAACCCCTCTTCAGCCCTCTGGATAAGTTTTGGTAATTCCACACCACCTCCTAATCTCCAAACTACGGATTCTCTGCATTATATTCACACCACACATTGCCCTCAGACATAACTCCACTGCCTCCAGCCTTCTTGTTGCAACATTCACAACCCATGCCTCACACCCATACAAGTACGTTGGTATAACTATACTCTCATACATGCCCCTCTTTGCTTTTATGGACAAAGTTCTGTCTCCACAGACTCCTCAGTGCACCACTCATCATTTTCCCCTCGTCGATTCTATGATTCACCTCATTTTTCATAGATCCATCCGCTGACACGTCCACTCCCAAACATACGAATACATTCGCCTCCTCCATACTCTCCCTCCAATCTGATATCCAATCTTCCGTTACCTAAATTTTTGGTTATCCTCATCACCTTACCCTTTCCTACATTCACTTTTAATTTCCTTTTACATACCCTACCAAATTCATCCACCAACCTCTGCAACTTCTCTTCAGAATTTCCCAAAAACAGTGTCATCAGCAAAGAGCAACTGTGACAACTCCCACTGTGTTAGATTTTATCAACTCTTATACAATCATCCTTGCTACCTCAGTTCCCTCAATGTCATCATATTAGGGTGTACACAAGTCAGTTTATTTAAAAAGAAAAGTTATACCTTGACTCCGCTAAAGACAAGTTCGTTGACAGTGGCGGAGATGACCAGCTTCTCGCCTAAATCGTTAAACATTCTATTGAGAACAGCCAGGTAGATCTCCTCGTCTCGCACCGCCCATACAGCAGACTGCAATACAAACCGTGTATCAAGTTTAAGCAATGAACATTTTTGGTAAACGGTAACAAACCTTAATGGATGAATTTGCAGAGATGATTTAGGCAATAATAAAAAAAAAAAAACTTGCACGTTCATACAAATTTTACCCTGTGCTGTGAGGTAAGAATATCACTATCAGAAACAATCAGACGACAATCAGTACTATGAGGATATGTAACACTATTTTAAGGGTTCACACCACACTATGGAATTATCAGCAAAACAACCTGGTACAAGATTATACTAAAAAATGCTCCAAATTCGTATGGGTCATACAACGAGGGTACTACACGAAACCGAAGTTCACAAGCAACACTAAAATAACCACCACCGGAACTTGTCCAGCTTTCTGACATTAAACTACCACCAGTTAATCTACAATATCTTACCTCGGCACCTTTCATATCCCAGCTTCACCCTGGCACACAACCACTCCAGGATGCCACCGGCACACACCAGCCACTCCAGGATGCCACTGACAACAGTTTACTGACACCCAAGTACTTTATTTCCTGAATTATTAGATCAATGATGTAATACAGACATCATGAAGACGTGCAACATGCATTAGACTGATACAGTCTACTGCGGAAGCGAAACGTCTCTAAGACACCCAGGTGTTGCACATTTCTTAGCTTATCGCCCTAGGCAAACATTGGCATCAGTAGGAAGCTTCCCCAGGATTAAATCCGAATTCTTCGGTTTAGTCTAAAGTCCTGCCACTGAGGTATGTGCTACTATCTTTAAAAACCATAAGCCCTTTATCAGGGCCTCAGAACCATCTGGCTCTGAACGCTAATTTAACCTCTTATGAATTAAGGAAATTTCAAATTAAATTTCCTGGGAAGCGCCTACCCTTTAATGGTAATAGGGAATGAGCAGTTAAGTTTGATCCGAGGAAGGTGAAGGGCAGCCCAAATTCTTTGAATCAAGAACACTTCTTGAAGTGGAAATGACGGCGAGCCATAAAAGAAATACCTATGTGTACACTACCCTCTGTTCATAGACGAGGTGACATGTCACCATGTAGAACAGTCTACAGGTATACTTTTCTTTCTATAGAACTCTTGATGCTGTTAAGATAACGAAAAGATAAAACCTACTCGTCTCATTTAGACATTTGAATTCTTACCCTTTCTTACTTCCTCCCCCCCCCCCCCCAATTCATCGAGCCCCAAACCCTTGTCTTATTCACCACAGGAATAGTGTTGAGGCTGAAGATGAGGTCGTCCTGAGTGTTCTTGCCAGAGAGTTGCTGGTCCCACACCCACCATCGTTGCTGCAGGTAACTCACAGTGTTGTTGCTGTTGAAGGTCACATTCACCTTCTCGTGGTACTCTCTGTTCCCTCACAAGCGCCGCCCAAGAAAAAAATATTTGTCAGATCAAAGTTTTTATGTATGGTTACAATGTCAGTAACAGAACCATTTGGTTACTCAGCTCTTTAAACTAAGATATTAAAACAAAATTCATCAACTTGATACTTCAACAATTCACTGATAAAGATCAGAGCAAGCAAAATTATTAGAAGTATTTCTTCCCATTCTGCAATCTGTATCTATAATTCGTTCAAAGTCCCTGACTGTAATTTTCCGAAACCTTTTATTAAATTAAATATTTTACCGCCAGTAATGGGAAAAGATGAGTTCTGAAGCACGCAGCCTGTGGAAGTAGCTGGCTGGTTTCCAAATTTGAGGAGCATTTGATCGTGATCATTCAATGCTCTTGTAAATACAAGTATAGGAAGAAAAAAAAAGGATAAAATTAATAAGTTAGTCAGTTGCAGGCCACAAATTATACAGATAGGAGCAAGAGCATCTGCGAACAGGTGGCTGTGGGCGAGATGTGCACGCCCGATCAAGCTATGGATTAGTAATGTGATGATTCTTTTGGGAGGAGGGGGGCCAAAAACCTACGTCCTGCCGAATCCACAATTTTCCTACCATCTGCAGAGTCCAACAGGTCCTCCATTTACCACGGACATGTGGAAAAAAAGGCAAATAGCTGCTATAGAGGGAGTTATTTCAGGCAGCTTTCAACTGGTTTTCTGTGCCCCCTTCCCCTTCTTTTATTTTCCCCTGAACTCCCACATGACTCACAGCACCAACAGAACTTCGCATCTTCCCTGGGATCATTCAACCCATAGTACACCAGAAAGGGTAAACGAGCGGTTTGGGCTTTAAAGAGGAAGTGAACCTAACTCATTAAAATAGACATCACAAGAGGAGCAAGGATTGCGGGGAGCTCGACAGTCAACACTAGTTTAATAGCTATACGCAATAAAAGGCCTCACCCACAGTCACCGCAACTTCAGAATGGGGATGAAATCAGGGCTAAGTCCAGAGATAACAGGTTGAGTCTAGTTCTGGTCACTCATGAATCATGTCCGTGCTGATGTTGACAGTATTCTTCCGTAGAGGAACCTAGAAAAGTTGTTGGTGCCGCGAGAGGTATAAATGTTATAATATATGGTAGAGAAGAGCAGAGTATAAGTACAGCAAGAAAAACCATAGGTTGACTAATTAAAAAAAAAAAATCTTTCATTAGTAACAAGCCATGCCAATTTTTTCAAGGACTATCCCTGACCCTACCTGGGGCACAGCCCTAAAATAGCTTGCCTAGAATTAAGGTAGCAAGGTGTAGTACAACTACCTAATTAGAATGGGGGAGAGAGGCACATTTGCAGCATTCGGTAAATAATGGGAAGGGGGAAAACTGGCAACAAGACAGTGGGGGAAATCTTTACAACTTCTGGTTCAACAGGTGACCTTCAGTACATCGCTTTCAAATATCCGCCAGACGTAGCACCCAATATGCCATCTGGTTGTCAACCAGAAGATTCATCTGATAGTCTGATCCCCTTCTGTAGTGCGGACCACCCAGGTACTAGAATTATTGGGAGAACAAGAGAAACTAACGCCTTCCATAATCTACCAAATAGTCAGGAAGGAGGGATAGAAATTGGGGAGTTCTTAAGTCAGGCTAATCAGCTCAGACTTTACCACGTCTAGGTGACCTTGAGTAAGTAGTACAGAACTTCATTATAATCAAAGGAAGCGCTAAACTATAGAACCTCTCAAGTCACTGAACCACACCACGTTAACGTGACCCAGTAGGGGGCAGTGCAGCAGGTGCAATGAATAGACTTCTCAAACTAGTCTTTGCATAAGTCTTACCAAGATTATATTCATGTATCTACATATTTACTTGCCATACCCCTAAATAAATGTACGCTTCACTAAATCGACCCCCTTCCCTACTTCTCTCGCACACCCTTTTATAATTGCCGCCGTGACCGTTCCAGTTCTACCCTTCAGTCTAAATCATGTGTCCACCCATGTTAACCTACCCACCTCCAGACATAAGGACCACATTCCTGCAGGATTGGCTTCTTTCCGTTCTTGAACTGTTCTGGGTTCGTCAAGTTGAAGAGGTACATCTTTAATAACATAGGAATCGGGGTAACCTTCCACATGTCGTACGCCTCCGAGCCCTCCACTACCTCCAGACGCTGCGAGGAAAAAAAAAAAATCTACTTTAGCAAAACACTCAGAACTCTGAAGGTCTGTGAAATGGATACCAGCTCAGAGGAAAATTGCATGATTATATTCGTGGGGCTTCAAGTAAACTTCCAGCGTGTATACACAAGTATGTAAAACATCTGCAACCTTCGTGCAGAAGCGCTAAAACTATAGGGGTCAGCGGCACATGGAAATGGAAGGCTACCAGCTAATATGGCAGAATTCGAAGGCATTTAATAATTCCTCGGATCAAGAATCCTTCAGCATAAAGCCCCCCCCCCTTCCTTGAAAGGTCTACATTGTACATGCTCAAGTATTTACTCCCTTGTACTTTAATACATGTGAATGTGGTACCATCTTTTTCTCTTAAATGTATATGTAGCCTGTACTGTGTATATAAGAGTGCACATGCATTATATATTTAAAAGGGAGCGCTCAGGTTCACGCGCGCTGAGCAAAAAACAATTCGAAAAAATATGAAAATGGAGTTATTGTTACCAAAAAATAGCTGAACTTTCTGGCTACACTCTGGTATAATTATTATCCTTGTACGATGTTTCTAAAAGGAATTACAGCCATTTATAACAGGCATGGTGACAGCGCTGACGCGTCATATTGCGTAAGAAGCGCTGACGCGGCTTTGTTTACGTTTTTCCCCCTTGTTATTTTTATCGTTTTCGTATATCTTTATGTCTAATATAATACAAATTCACTGAGATCATGCCCGAGCGGGCGGAGCTAATATGGTCAAGTAACCAGTCAGGTACCCTGGGTATAGTACCCAAAATGGCCGACACCTCCAGCCAACAAAATATTCCATAAATATTCCATACCCACGCTAATATCAATTATAAGGCTTATTTATCTATCACAATTGATCTACTATGACAATGCAATATAATAATAGCATATAAACATAAAAAGCACACCGAAAAAAATAATATATAACATAATATGATGCCCAAGAGGGAAAAATTTCTATCGGTGTATCCCCTGAAGTTTCGTTATCTCTTACAAGTGATGAGAGAAAACGGATTTACAATGGTTAACTGTAATAAACACTCGTAGGTCACGCAAAAAGTGTAAAATAAAGCGAATTTTTCGGGGAAAAAAATTATTTCCCGGGCAGCTGGGGTGCCGCGCGCTTCGGCCTATATCTCGAAAGTAACTTATTTACCTATTTAGGGGCACTCCATCTTTATTTATGATTGAATTGACTTGATTTTCACAACAATCATAGGAGAATGATTGCTTTACAAGGTGGAGTGTACCTTTCTGAACTATCCCAAATATTTTTAGATTTATGTGGGCAACAAGACCGACATCTTCCAATATGTCAAAAAAGTTATGAAACTTATTTTTTTTAGCATGAAGATAAGGTTTATTTTAGAATAGGTACACTTACAGTGATGGAATTAGGTGTTCTATCAGCAGCAAGTGTCAAAACCACTTTTCCAAGTACCACTGAGAAGGACTCCCCTGCCAAATGCAATTTTTCGTAAATTTTGCATATTTCATTTCCTTTTTGGCCGATATGATTGAAACTTCAGCACAGGATATTTGATATAAGCTTCTAATAGTACACCAAAAATGAACGTAATCGGTTGAAAAATAAAGAAGTCGATATGTTACGCCTGAGCGCTTCCTTATATATTCGTGCACTCATTGTCATGTGTTAAGTTTAGCACTAAATCAAAGGTCATGTATATGTTTACATTTATATAAGTTTATATAGGGTGACACTGGCTTCCCCAATTTATATCGAGTCTGCTTACATTTAGTGGTTGATTTAGTTCAAGTAGAACTGATTTACGATATTCAGGATGATTGATGCCAGGTTAGTGCAAGTGTGTATTCTCAAGCATATAATGTTTTAAAACAAAAGCTTCCTGGATTTTAAGATTTCACACAAAAAAGTGAATTATGGTAATTCCCAAGCATTAGCAACTCCAACTCTGCTGTAACAACCGAATCCTTAATGAAACACCTTACAACTCTCTCACTGACTTAGTAAAGTCTTCTAGCTTTGACATATCTACACTACGAGTGTGTGTGTGAAACCCTTAATTTGTGATACAAATATGTCAGGGAAACCGCTTTTGATCCCACAACGTGACTATTATACTGAATGGTTCTGCAGCACATTGTTGATGTACCTAATTTAGCTAAATAAAAACAGTATGGTCTGCTACATCAGTCGATACATAGTCGTAAATCCTCGAAGGTCGTACAGCGCTTCTATAGAAATTCACAGGAAATCATGATTGATCCCACCAAAAGAAGGATCTTTCCGATTCTTTGAATCAGGAGTCTTCCAGCATCATCAAGACACCGCTCATTCAGAAATGAAAAACTCACCGAATGCAGAATACAGCTGATAATGGCGTGGAAGCACCCGGTCAGCATGGCCACACTGAGGACGACCAGCAGCACAGACAGCACCAGCAGCACCATCTGACAGCACGTCAGCCACTTCAGCTTCGCTACTTCCTTAATAATAAACTCTTTGGCTGCAGCAAGGCTGGTTCCAGAGCTGGTCATAGTGGTATCAGATTCTTGCCCTGTGGAACCCTCCATTCTGCTGTCTTCACCCACCCTCTTCTCTGCAGTGAGGGAAAACATGAGGAAAGAAGGACTGGGTGTGGAAGCTGTTATTGAGCGTAATGTTCTACATAGCAACTGGATATGTAGTTGCTGTAGTCCACACCAGATGGTGTGTGAGTGTGTGTGTGTGTATATGTGTCGGTAGCTTCCACCATCCTCTGTGAATCAAATGTTTTAGTACTAAAATGTGTTTGAGTCAGACAAACGTGGCAGTACCTAGGTGTACTTGAGTCACATAATCTATGTTGAGGTGAATATATATATACATATATATATACACGTGTGTGTGTAGAAAAAGCCACATGGGAGATGCAGTTCAGTATGGACAAATGTAACGTCCTAGAAATGATACAACCAAACTAGTTATGAACTAATTTTTTTTTTTACTTACTGTAAAGCCAAGACGTGAGAGTACAGGTACAAAGTAACGACGTTCCGCTCACTCAGGAGCTTAATTAAGTGAACGGAGAATATAGAATCATGACGTGTATGTGGAAGAGAGTGAGGTAAAAACGAGTTTCAACGAAGGAAGAGGAGGAAGTATCAGAAGTTTGCCATAAAACTTGTCGACTTCTTGCCTTCATAACCAGAGGTATAAGTAATATCAGTTCCGAGGTCATAGTGAAACTCGATACATCTTCGTTCAGACTCGCCGGGAAAGTAGATAGAGAAAGTTGAAAAAAAATGTATATTAATCCCTTGTGAAGCTGTGTGAGAGATCGTCTCCTCTGAGGTATGACATTATGGGAATTATGATCCATGTTTACAAGTCAGTTTATGCAACCAAGAGGTTGATGATGATCTTAACCAAGACATGTCTCGCAACGATGGATTAAGGTTGAACACCTCAGATTTAGAAACGGCATTGAACAGAGTTGATTTTAGCAGCATAGTTGAGGATGAGTGGAGCAAACTGTCAACCAGCGGAACCTCAGTAAATTTATTTGTAAATGGCATAGTGATACGGACAGACCATGGAAAAGAACACTTTGTGTACAGTTCAGAACATTTCTTTAATGATGAAGCTGCTCGGGGCGAAACGTTAAAACCTCATCGACTGAAGAAGTTGATAAGTAAGACACATGTGCAACAGTTGGGTATCTTTTTTCCGAAACGTTTCGCCTACACAGTAAGCTTCTTCAGTCGAGTAAAGAGGAGGCAAAGGAAGCAGTAGAGATATTAAAACGATGTAATCAGTCCATCCTTGGACACTTGCACGTTTGTCTTACCTGTTAACCTGTCGGTATTGTATACCATTATCATATTCGACTGAAAAATTCTGTTCTTCAGGCAAAACGTTGCGGCCAAAAAGCTCTCCAAGTGTTGCACATATACCCCATTTATTCTTCTACTTGACGGTACTGTGCAACGTCAGTAATATGGAACACTTTCTGAAGTGTACACACGTGTACTTGTATTTAAATATATGCTATGTACAGTTGAAAAAAATCAGTTATGCAAATGCACGAGGATCAATAAATGTGTGTAGGAGGCCTAGTCTAGCTCTGGTTACTGGAGGCCTAGTATAGCTCTGGTCACTGGAGGTCTAGTCTAGCTCTGGTTACTGGAGGCCTAGTATAGCTCTGGTCACTGGAGGTCTAGTCTAGATCTGGTTACTGGAGGTCTAGTCTAGCTCTGGTTACTGGAGGTCTAGTCTAGCTCTGGTTACTGGAGGTCTAGTCTACCTCTGGTTACTGGAGGTCTAGTATAGCTCTGGTCACTGGAGGTCTAGTCTAGCTCTGGTTACTGGAGGCCTAGTATAGCTCTGGTCACTGGAGGTCTAGTCTAGCTCTGGTTACTGGAGGCCTAGTATAGCTCTGGTCACTGGAGGTCTAGTCTAGCTCTGGTTACTGGAGGCCTAGTATAGCTCTGGTCACTGGAGGTCTAGTCTAGCTCTGGTCACTGGAGGTCTAGTCTAGCTCTGGCCAGTGGAGGTCTAGTCTAGCTCTGGTCACTGGAGGTCTAGTCTAGCTCTGGCCACTGGAGGTCTAGTCTAGCTCTGGTCACTGGAGGTCTAGTCTAGCTCTGGTCACTGGAGGTCTAGCCTAGCTCTGGTCACTGGAGGTCTAGCCTAGCTCTGGTCACTGGAGGTCTAGTCTAGCTCTGGGCCACTGGAGGTCTAGTCTAGCTCTGGTCACTGGAGGTCTAGTCTAGCTCTGGTCACTGGAGGTCTAGTCTAGCTCTGGTGACTGGAGGTCTAGTCTAGCTCTGGTCACTGGAGGTCTAGTCTAGCTCTGGTCACTGGAGGCCTAGTCTAGCTCTGGTCATTGGAGGTCAAGCCTAGCTCTGGTCACATAGGCCTAGTCTAGCTCTGGTCACTGGAGGCCTGGTCTAGCTCTGGTCACTGGAGGTCGAGCCTAGCTCTGGTCACTGGAGGCCTTGTCTAGCTCTGGTCACTGGAGGCCTAGTCTAGCTCTGGTGACTGGAGGTCTAGTCTAGCTCTGGTCACTGGAGGTCTAGTCTAGCTCTGGTCACTGGAGGTCTAGTCTAGCTCTGGTCACTGGAGGTCTAGTCTAGCTCTGGTCACTGGAGGCCTAGTCTAGCTCTGGTCACTGGAGGTCTAGTCTAGCTCTGGTGACTGGAGGTCTAGTCTAGCTCTGGTGACTGGAGGTCTAGTATAGCTCTGGTCACTGGAGGTCTAGTCTAGCTCTGGTCACTGGAGGCTTAGTCTAGCTCTGGTCACTGGAGGTCAAGCCTAGCTCTGGTCACATAGGCCTAGTCTAGCTCTGGTCACTGGAGGCCTGGTCTAGCTCTGGTCACTGGAGGTCGAGCCTAGCTCTGGTCACTGGAGGCTTGTCTAGCTCTGGTCACTGGAGGCCTAGTCTAGCTCTGGTGACTGGAGGTCTAGTCTAGCTCTGGTCACTGGAGGTCTAGTCTAGCTCTGGTCACTTTAGGTCTAGTCTAGCTCTGGTGACTGGAGGTCTAGTCTAGCTCTGGTCACTGGAGGTCTAGTCTAGCTCTGGTGACTGGAGGTCTAGTCTAGCTCTGGTCACTGGAGGCCTAGACTAGATCTGGTGACTGGAGGTCTAGACTAGCTCTGGTGACTGGAGGTCTAGTCTAGCTCTGGTGACTGGAGGTCTAGTCTAGCTCTGGTGACTGGAGGTCTAGTCTAGCTCTGGTGACTGGAGGTCTAGTCTAGCTCTGGTCACTGGAGGTCTAGTCTAACTCTGGTCACTGGAGGCCTAGTCTAGCTCTGGTCACTGGAGGTAAAGCCTAGCTCTGGTCACATAGGCCTAGTCTAGCTCTGGTCACTGGAGGCCTAGTCTAGCTCTGGTCACTGGAGGTCGAGCCTAGCTTTGGTCACTGGAGGCCTTGTCTAGCTCTGGTCACTGGAGGCCTAGTCTAGCTCTGGTCACTGGAGGCCAAACCTAGCCCTGGTCACGGGAGGCCAAGCTTAAATCTGGTCACTGGATTCCGAGTCAAGTCCTGGTCACTAGAGACCGAACCTGGTCCTCGTCACTGGAGGCCGTGCCTACCCTGGACATTGGAGGCCAGGCCTAGACCTGGTCACTGGAGGCCAAGCCTAGCCCTGGTCACTAGAGGATAAGCCTAGCCCTGGTCACTGGAGGCCAAGCCTAGCCCTGGTCACTGCAGTCCAAGCCTAGCCTTAGTCACTGGAGGCCAAGCCTAGCCCTGGCCACTGGAGGCCAAGCCTAGCTCTGGTCACTGGAGGCCAAGCATAGCCCTGGTCACTGGAGGCCAAGCCTAGCCCTGGTTACTGGAGGCCAAGCCTAACCCAGGTCACTGGATGCCAAGTCTAGCCCTGGTCACAGGAGGCCAAGCTTAGCCCTGGTCACTGGAGGCGAAGCATAGCCCTGGTCACTGGAGGCCAAGCATAGCCCTGGTCACTGGAGGCCAAGCCTGGCCCTGATCACTGGAGGCCAAGCCTAGCCCTGATCACTGGAGGCCAAGCCTAGCCCTGGTCACTGGAGGCCAAGCATAGCCCTGGCCACCGGAGGCCAAGCCTAGCTCTGGTCACTGGAGGCCAAGCATAGCCCTGGTCACTGGAGGCCAAGCCTAGCCCCGGTCACTGGAGACCAAGCCTAGCCCTGGTCACTGGAGGCCAAGCCTAACCCAGGTCACTGGAGGCCAAGCCTAGCCCCGGTCACTGGAGACCAAGCCTAGTCCTGGTCACTGGAGGCCAAGCCTAGCCCTGGTCACTGGAGGCCAAGCCTGGCCCTGATCACTGGAGGCCAAGCATAGCCCTGGTCACTGGAAGCCAAGCCTAGCCCTGGTCACTGGAGGCCAAGCCTAGCCCTGGTCACTGGAGGCCAGGCCTAGCCCTGGTCACTGGAGGCCAAGCCTAGCCCTGGTCACTGGAGGCCAAGCCTAGCCCTGGTCACTGGAGGCCAAGCATAGCCCTGGTCACTGGAGGCCAAGCCTAGCCCTGGTCACTGGAGGCCAAGCATAGCTCTGGTCACTGCAGGCCAAGCATAGCCCTGGTCACTGGAGGCCAAGCCTAGCCCTGGTCACTGGAGGCGAAGCCTAGCCCTGGTCACTGGAGGCCAAGCCTAGCCCTGGTCACTGGAGGCCAAGCCTAGCATTGGTCACTGGACTAGCTACAGTGGTCTTCTTTTCTTCTTTTAAAGTCACTTAGAATTCAAAGAAAATTCATTACTTCAGAAAGTCGTTTTTGAACGAAGAAAAAAAGCGGATGTTGGAGTCAGCTCCTCGTGATGCTGATGTCAGTGAGTAAAAATACTGAGTTACCATATCTGGGACGTGACTCACGGTCATGTGTCAAGGGGAGTGGTCATTACCACGAGTTAACTGATGGTCATACCACGTAATGATGATGACTGAGAGGTACCTGACACATAGTACCTACCATTGTTGACTGAGAGGTACTTGACACACAGTACCTACCATAATGACTGAGACGTACCTAACACATAGTACCTACCATTGATGACTGAGAGGTACCTGGCACATAGTACCTACCATTGATGACTGAGAGGTACCTGACACATAGTACCTACCATTGATGACTGAGAGGTACGTGACACAGTACCTACCATTGATGACTGAGAGGTACCTAATACATAGTACCTACCATTGATGACTGAGAGGTATCTGGCACATAGTACCTACCATTGATGACTGAGAGGTACCTGACACATAGTACCTACCATTGATGACTGGGACGTACCTGACAAATAGTACCTACCATTGATGACTGAGATGTACCTGACACATAGTACCTACCATTGATGACTGAGAGGTACCTGACACATAGTGTCTACCATTGATGACTGAGAGGTACTTGACACACAGTACATACAATTGATGACTGAGAGGTACCTGACACACAGTACCTACCATTGATGACTGAGAGGTACCTGACACATAGTGCCTACCACTGATGACTGAGAGGTACTTGACACACAGTACCTACCATTGATGACTGAGAAGTACCTTACACACAGTCCCTACCATTGATGACTGAGAGGTGCCTGACACACAGTACCTACCATTGATAAGTGAGAGGTACTTGGCACGCAGTACCTACGATTGATGACTGAGAAGTACCTTACACACAGTCCCTACCATTGATGACTGAGAGGTACCTAACACATAGTACCTACCAATGATGACTGAGATGTACCTGACACACAGTACCTACTATTGATGAGTGAGAGGTACATGGCACACAGTACCTACCAATGATGACTGAGAGGTACCTGACGCATAGTACCTACCATTGATGACTGAAAGGTACATGGCACACAGTACCTATCATTGATGACTGAGCGATACCTGACACACAGTACCTACTATTGATGACTGAGAGGAACCTGACACACAGTACCTACCATTGATGACTGAGATGTACCAGACACACAGTACCTACCATTGATGACTGAGAGGTACCTAACAAATAGTATCTACCAGTGATGACTGAGAGGTACCTAACAAATAGTACCTACCAATGATGACTGAGAGGTACCTGACACACAGTACCTACCATTGATGAGTGAGAGGTACATGGCACACAGTACCTACCACTGATGACTTAGAGGTACCTGGCACACAGTACCTACCGTTGATGACTGAGAGGTACCTAACAGAGTACCTGACAGTACCTGTCACTGATAGCTGAGGGGTACTTAACACAATACACGACACAGTACCTGCCACTGATGACTGAGAGATACCTGGCACACAGTACCTACCATTGATGACTGAGCGATACCTGGCACACAGTACCTACTACTGATGACTGAGAGGTACCTGACACAGTCCCTACCATTGATGACTGAGATGTACCTGACACACAGTACCTACCATTGATGACTGAGAGATACCTAACACATAGTACCTACCAATGATGACTGAGATGTACCTGACACACAGTACCTACCATTGATGACTGAAAGGTACATGGCACACAGTACCTATCATTGATGACTGAGCGATACCTCACACACAGTACCTACCATGGATGAGTGAGAGGTACATGGCACACAGTACCTACCAATGATGACTGAGAGGTACCCGACACACAGTACCTACGATTGATGACTGAAAGGTATATGCCACACAATACCTACCACTGATGACTTAGAGGTACCTGGCACACAGTACCCACCATTGATGAGGGAGAGGTACCTGGCACACAGTACCTACCGTTGATGACTGAGAGGTACCTAACAGATTACCTGACAGTACCTGCCACTGATAGCTGAGAGATACTTAACACAATACCCGGCACGGTATCTACCGTTGATGACTGAGAGGTACCTGACACACAGTGCCTTGACACACAGTACCTGACACACAGTACCTAGACACACAGTACCTGACACACAGTACCTAGGCACACAGTACCTGACACACAGTACCTGACACACAGTACCTAGACACACAGTACCTGACACACAGTACCTAGGCACACAGTACCTGACACACAGTACCTGCACACAGTACCTAGGCACACAGTACCTGACACACAGTACCTGACACAAAGTACCTAGACACAGTATCTGACACACAGTATCAATTGTTGATGACTGAAGGATATTTGACACACAGTACCAACTGTTGATGACTGAGGAGTACCTGACACACAATACCTACCACTGATGACTGAGGGGTACCTGGCACACAATACCTACCACTGATGACTGAGGGGTACCTGGCACACAATACCTACCATTGATGACTGAGAGATACTGAACACACAATACCTACCGTTGATGAGTTTCTCGGTGTCCTGAGGCTCCTTCATCGTTGCCATGGGAGACATCAACGAGGAGACTAAGAAGGAAGTCACCACTTAAACGTCTGAATTCAACGTTTGAGTCTCCACTTAAGATTCGTGAGTCACTGTTAAAAATTCTTAAATTACCACTTAACTAGTAAGTGACGAGTTGAGACTCGTTAGTTGCCACTTAAAAACTCCTTATCACCACTTAAGTTTCATAGATTCGTGATTCACTATTAAAGAGTTGTAAGTCACTACTTAACACTAGTGAGTGACAATTAAGACTTGTTAGTGCCACTTTAAAACTCCTTATCACCACTTAAGCTTCGTGAGTCACCACTTGGAGCATCAATGTTGGCGTGTGAGTGTTTCATGGTGGAGACAACCACGCACCACACGCAGGTACTATCCCTGCACCAACATCGTCGTTCCTCCCGCACTCAAACACTGATGTCTACACTCATACCCTGACCTGTACACCTAGTCAACAGGCTTATAGGAGGAATCCGGCAGCGATAGGCCTTCTCGATAGCTTCAAACACTGTACGAGGGTACAAGTATCACTCACCCCATGATTAGATCAGTACTTCCTCGCTCTCTGTAGTTATGGAGAAAAGCGAGAGTAGTTGTATTTGTTTACTGTATTGTGATACAGTTCTGTGTTGCTGTTACATGTACCTTGTAGTGTGCTTAATTACACGATCTTCACGTGTGTGTGAGTGTTGGCACTGTGCACTGTGGCACTGGTCTGGTGGATGTGATGGTGTGTGTGTCCAGTGAGGCACGGAAGGAGGGGGAGGATTAGGGGGAGGTGGAGGAGGGAGGGGAGGGAGGGTGGGAAGTGGAAGGAAGGGGGGAGGGGAAGGAGTATGTGAGGGAGAGAGGGAGGTGTGAAGGAGAGAGGGAGTGTGTGAAGGTGAGAGGGAGTGCGGGAAGGAGAGTGAGGAGAGAGGAGTGTGTGAGGGAGAGAAGGAGTGTATGAGGGAGAGAGTGAGTGTAGAGGGAGAGAGGGAGTGTGAGGGTCAATAAGAGAGGGTGAAGGAGGAGAGTGTGAGGGTGAGGGAGGGAGGGTGAGGGAGTTAGTGTGAGGGAAGAGAGGGAGGAGGAGTGTGAGGGTGAGGGGGAGGTGAGGTAGTGTGAGGGAGAGAGGGAGGGAGGGGGTGTGAGGGGAGGGGAGGAGGGAGGGAAGTGTGTGGGAGAGGAGAAGGGAGTGTGAGGGTTGGAGAGGGGGGAGGAAGGGAGGGAGTGTGAGGGAGGAAGGGAGGGAGGGAGGGAGGGAGGGAGGGAGGGGGAGGGAGGGAGGGAGGGAGCCATTGTACATAAGGGAGAGTAAACCACCTCCCAGATTTCAAAGCTCTAGTTACTCGTTTTGTTTGTTTAATGTACTCACTCGTGCTGTGGAGAAAAGCTCCAGCTCTTGGGCACCCCTCTTCTCAACAGTTGATGAATTAATCAATTCCCAGAACGGGTGGGAATGGAACCCATGGCAAGAGAGTCCTAAACCGGGTACCACCATGACCTGTGAGTTTTGAGCACACATGCCATGAGTTCGAGTCTCACTCGTACTGTGATTAATTTATATTCTTGTTATTACGATTTTTAGTTACAACTGCAGTGTTATGCTGGTGACATTTAGTCTTCAGTGTTCGTGGTTACAACAGCAGAGTTATGCTGGTATTGTACCGTCATCAGTAATCTGTTTATCATATATCTTTAACATTTCTTGCGGCTGTGGCATTTATTTCCTCCTCTTCTAAACAATTCCGTTGGTCAGTCAGTCTGCGAAGAACATTTTTCTAATATCCATAATTTCTGGCTCCACCTTCTTGTTAACCTTCTTGTAAGCGCTAAGATGCCTTCTTAATGTGTTCTTCTTTATCCTCTTTCCCTCCCATTAGCCAGTGTGGCCATCAACCAGTGTGACCATCAACCAGTGTGGCCATCAGCCAGTGTGCCCATCAACCAGTGTGGCCATCAACCAGTGCGGCTATCAGTCAGTGTGTCCATCAGTCAACGTGGCCATCAGTCAGTGTGGCCATCAGCCAGTGTGGCCATCAACCAGTGTGGCCATCAGCCAGTGTGGCCATCAGTCAGCGTGGCCATCAGCCAGTGTGGCCATCAGCCAGTGTGGCCATCAGCCAGTGTGGCCATCAACCAGTGTGGCCATCAACCAGTGTGGCCATCAGCCAGTGTGGCCATCAGCCAGTGTGCCCATCAACCAGTGTGGCCATCAGCCAGTGTGGCCATCAACCAGTGTGGCCATCAACCAGTGCGGCTATCAGTCAGTGTGGCCATCAGTCAACGTGGCCATCAGTCCGCGTGACCATCAGTCAGCGTGGCCATCAGCCAGTGTGGCCATCAACCAGTGTGGCCATCAGTCAGCGTGGCCATCACCCAGCGTGGCCATCAGTCAACGTGGCCATCAGTCAGGGTGGCCATCAGTCAGCGTGGCCATCAGTCAGCGTGGCCATCAGTCAACGTGGCTATCAGTCAGCGTGGCCATCAGCCAGTGTGGCCAGTCAGCGTGGCCATCAGTCAGCGTGGCCATCAGCCAGTGCGGGCAGTCAGCGTGGCCATCAGGAAGTGTGGGCAGTCAGCGTGGCCATCAGTCAGCGTGGCCATCAGCCAGTGTGGCCATCAGCCAGCGCGGCCATCAGTCAGCGCGGCCATCAGTCAGCGTGGCCATCAGGCAGCGTGGCCTTTAGTCAGCGTGGCCATCAGTCAGCGTGGCCATCAGTCAGCGTGGCCATCAGCCAGTGTGGCCATCAGTCAACGTGGCCATCAGTCAGCGTGGCCATCAGTCAGCGTGGCCATCAGTCAGTGTGGCCATCAGTCAGCGTGGCCATCAGTCAGCGTGGCCATCAGTCAGTGTAGCCATCAGTCAGTGTGGCCATCAGTCAACGTGGCCATCATTCAGCGTGGCCATCAGCCAGTGTGGCCATCAGCCAGTGTGGCCATCAGTCAGTGTGGCCATCAGTCAGTGTGGCCATCAGTCAGCGTGACCATCAGTCAGCGTGGCCATCAGGCAGTGTGGCCATCAGCCAGTGTGGCCATCAGTCAGCGTGGCCATCACTCAGCGTGGCCATCAGGCAGCGTAGCCATCAGTCAGCGTGGCCATCAGTCAGCGTGGCCATCAGTCAGCGTGGCCATCAGTCAGCGTGGCCATCAGCCAGTGTGGGAAGTCAGCGTGGCCATCAGCCAGTGTGGGAAGTCAGCGTGGCCATCAGCCAGTGTGGCCATCAGTCAGCGTGGCCATCAGTCAGCGTGGCTATCAGTCAGCGTGGCCATCAGGCAGCGTGGCTATCAGTCAGCATGGTCAATAGTCAGCGTGGCCATCAGTCAGCGTGGCCATCAGTCAGCGTGGCCATCAGGCAGTGTGGCCATCAGTCAGCGTGGCCATCAGTCAGTGTGGCCATCAGTCAGCGTCGCCATCAGTCAGTGTGGCCATCAGTCAGCGTGGCCATTAGTCAGCGTGGCCATCAGCCAGCGTGGCCATCAGCCAGTGTGGCCATCAGCCAGTGTGGGCAGTCAGCGTGGCCATCAGTCAGCGTGGCCATCAGGCAGCGTGGCCTTTAGTCAGCGTGGCCATCAGTCAGCGTGGAAATCAGTCAGCGTGGCCATCAGGCAGCGTGGCCTTTAGTCAGCGTGGCCATCAGTCAGCGTGGCCATCAGTCAGCGTGGCCACCAGCCAGTGAGGCCATAAGTCAGCGTGGACATCAGTCAGCGTGGCCATCAGTCAGCGTGGCCATCAGTCAGCGTGGCCATCAGTCAGCGTGGCCATCAGTCAGCGTGGTCATCAGTCAGCGTGGCCATCAGTCAGCGTGCCACAGTCAGTGAGGCCATAAGTCAGCGTGGACACTCCCTCAGCGTTGGGCCATCAGTCAGCGTGGCCATCTGTCAGCGTGGCCATCAGTCAGCGTGGCCATCAGTCAGCGTGGCCATCAGTCAGCGTGGCCATCAGTCAGCGTGGCCATCAGTCAGCGTGGCCATCAGCCAGTGTGGGCAGTCAGCTTGGCCATCAGCCAGTGTGGGCGTCAGTCAGCGTGGCCATCAGTCAGCGTTGCCATCAGTTAGTGTGGCCAGTCAGCGTGGCCATCAGTCAGTGTGGTCATCAGTCAGCGTGGCCATCAGTCAGCGTGGCCATCAGTCAGTGTGGCAATCAGTCAGCGTGGCCATCAGTCAGTGTGGCCATCAGTCAGTGTGGCCATCAGTGAGCGTGGCCATCAGTCAGCGTGGCCATCAGTCAGCGTGGCCATCAGTCAGCGTGGATATCAGTCAGCGTGGCCATCAGTCAGTGTGGCCATCAGTCAGCGTGGCTATCAGTCAGTGTGGCCATCAGTCAGCGTGGCCATCAGTCAACGTGGCCATCAGTTAGTGTGGCCAGTCAGCGTGGCCATCAGTCAGTGTGGCTATTAGTCAGCGTGGCCATCACTGTCAACGTGGCCAATCAGTCAGCGTGGCCATCAGCAGTGTGGCCATCAGTCAGGGCGTGGCCATCAGTCAGCGGCCATCAGTCAGCGTGGCCATCAGCAGTCGTGGCCATAATCATGTGGCCATCAGTCAAGCGTGGCCATCAGCCTGCGTGGCCATCAGTCAGCGTGGCTATTAGTCAGCGTGGCCATCAGTCAGCGTGGCCATCATCAGTCAAGTGTGGCATCAATCAGCGTGGCCATCAGTTAGCGTGGCCATCATGTCCAAGTCGGCGTGGCATCAGTCAGCGTGCGGCGTGGCCATCAGTCAGCGTGACCATCAGTCAGCGTGGCCATCAGTCAGTGTGGCACATGTCCATCGTGGCCATCAGTCAGCGTGGCCATCAGCCAGTGTGGGCAGTCAGCGTGGACACTTCTAGTCAGCGTGGCCATCAGTCAGCGTGGCCATCAGTCAGCGTGGCCATCAGTCAGCGTGGCCATCAGTCAGCGTGGTCATCAGTCAGCGTGGCCATCAGTCAGCGTGGCCACCAGCCAGTGAGGCCATAAGTCAGCGTGGACATCAGTCAGCGTGGCCATCAGTCAGCGTGGCCATCTGTCAGCGTGGCCATCAGTCAGCGTGGCCATCAGTCAGCGTGGTCATCAGTCATCAGCGTTGGCCATCATCGTCAGCATGGCCATCAGTCAGCGTGGCCATTCAGGCCCAGTTGTGGGCAGTCAGCTTGGCCATCAGCCAGTGTGGGCTCAGTCAGCGTGGCCATCAGTCACGTTTGCCATCATGTAGTGTGGCCAGTCAGCCGTGGCCATCAGTCAGTGTGGTCATCAGTCAGCGTGGCCATCAGTCAGCGTGGCCATCAGTCAGTGTGGCAATCAGTCAGCGTGGCCATCAGTCAGTGTGGCCATCAGTCAGTGTGGCCATCAGTGAGCATGGCCATCAGTCAGCGTGGCCATCAGTCAGCGTGGCCATCAGTCAGCGTGGATATCAGTCAGCGTGGCCATCAGTCAGTGTGGCCATCAGTCAGCGTGGCTATCAGTCAGTGTGGCCATCAGTCAGCGTGGCCATCAGTCAACGGGGCCATCAGTTAGTGTGGCCAGTCAGCGTGGCCATCAGTCAGTGTGGCCATCAGTCAGCGTGGCCATCAGTCAACGTGGCCATCAGTCAGCGTGGCCATCAGCCAGTGTGGCCATCAGTCAGCGTGGCCATCAGTCAGCGTGGCCATCAGTCAGCGTGGCCATCAGTCAGCGTGGATATCAGTCAGCGTGGCCATCAGTCAGTGTGGCCATCAGTCAGCGTGGCTATCAGTCAGCTGCTGGCCATCAGTCAGCGTGCCATCAGTCAACGTGGCCATCGCAGTGTGGCCAGTCAGCGTGGCCATCAGTCAGTGTGGCCATCAGTCAAGCGTGGCCATCAGTCAACGTGGCCTTCACAGTCCATGCGTGGCTATCAGCCACGTGTGGCCAGTCATCAGTCAGCGTGGCCATCAGTCAGCGTGGCCATCAGTCAGCGTGGCCATCAGTCAGCGTGGCCATCAATCAATGTGGCCATCAGTCAGCGTGGCCATCAGCCAGCGTGGCCATCAGTCAGCGTGGCTATTAGTCAGCGTGGCCATCAGCCAGCGTGGCCATCAGTCAGTGTGGCCATCAGTCAGCGTGGCCATCAGTCAGCGTGGCCATCAGTCAGCGTGGCGTGGCCATCAGTCAGCGTGGCGTGGCCATCAGTCAGCGTGACCATCAGTCAGCGTGGCCATCAGCCAGTGTGGCCAGTCAGCGTGGCCATCAGTCAGCGTGGCCATCAGCCAGTGTGGGCAGTCAGCGTGGCCATCAGCCAGTGTGGGCAGTCAACGTGGCCTTCAGCCAGTGTGGCCATCGGCCAGCGTGGCTATCAGCCACCGTGGTCATCAGTCAGCGTGGCAGTCAGCGTGGCCATCAGGCAGCGTGGCCATCAGTCAGCGTGGCCATCAGTCAGTGTGGCCATCAGTCAGCGTGGCCATCAGTCAGCGTGGCCATCAGTCAGCGTGGCCATCAGTCCAGCAGTGGCCATCAGCAGTGGACATGTCCATCTCAGTCAGCGTGGCCATCAGCCAGTGTGGCAAGTCAGCTTGGCCATCAGCCAGTGTGGGCCATCAGCGTGGGCATCAGTCAGGTGCACACTTAGCCAGTGATGGCCGTGGCCATCGCAGCGTGACCATCAGTCAGTGTGGCCATCAGTCAGCGTGGCCATAAGGCAGCGTGGCCATCAGTCAGCGTGGTCATCAGTCAGCGTGGCCATCAGTCAGCGTGGCCATCAGCCAGTGTGGCCATCAGCCAGCGTGGCCATCAGTCAGCGTGCCATCAGGCAGCGTGGCCATCAGTCAGCGTGGATATCAGTCAGCGTGGCCATCAGTCAGTGTGGCCATCAGTCAGCGTGGCAATCAGTCAGCGTGGCCATCAGTCAGCGTGGCCATCAGTCAGCGTGGCCATCAGTTAGTGTGGCCAGTCAGCGTGGCCATCAGTCAGTCTGGCCATCAGTCAGCATGGCCATTAGTCAGCGTGGCCATCAGCCAGAGTGGCCATCAGCCAGTGTGGCCATCAGTCAGTGTGGCCATCAGTCAGCGTGGCCATCAGTCAGCGTGACCATCAGTCAGCGTAGCCATCAGCCAGTGTGGCCATCAGCCAGTGTGGTCATCAGTCAGTGTGGCCATCACTCAGCGTGGCTATCAGGCAGCGTGGCCATCGGTCAGCGTGGCCATCAGTCAGCGTGGCCATCAGTCAGCGTGGCCATCAGTCAGCGTGGCCATCAGCCAGTGTGGGCAGTCAGCGTGGCCATCAGTCAGCGTGGCCATCAGCCTGTGTGGCCATCAGCCAGCGTGGCCATCAGCCAGTGTGGCCATCAGTCAGCGTGACCATCAGGCAGCGTGGCCATCAGTCAGTGTGGCCATCAGTCAGCGTGGCCATCAGTCAGCGTGGCCATCAGTCAGCGTGGCTATCAGTCTGTGTGGCCATCAGTCAGTGTCGCCATCAGTCAGCGCGGCCATCAGTCAGCGTGGCTATCAGTCAGTGTGGCCATCAGTCAGCGTGGCCATCAGTCAGCCTGGCTATCAGTCAGTGTGGCCATCAGTCAGCGTGGCCATCAGTCAGCGTGGCCATCAGTCAGCGTGGCCATCAGTCAGCGTGGCCATCATCAAGCTGGCCATCAGTAGGTGGCCGTCAGTGAGCGTGGCCATCAGCTGTGTGGCACATCACTGTTCATGCTGTCCATCAGCCAACTTTGGAATCATCATCTGAGCCAACATCAGTGTGGCCATCATCAGCGTGCCATCAAATTCTGGCGTGTGCCATCATGCCATGTGGGCAGTTTCCACGGTGTGGCCATACATGAAGCTCACCGTGGTACATTTAGCCCAGTGTGGCCATCACCAACGTGGCCATCAGCCAGCGTGGCCATCAGTCAGCGTGGCCAAACAGGCAGGGGGTGGCCATCAGTCAGCGTGGCCATCAGCCAGTGTGGCCATCAGTCAGCGTGGCCATCAGTCAGCGTGGCCATCAGTCAGTGTGGCCATCAGTCAGCGTGGCCATCAGTCAACGTGGCCATCAGTTAACGTGGCCATCAGTCAGCGTGGCCATCAGACAGTGGGGCCATCGGTCAGCGTGGCCATCAGTCAGCGTGGCCATCAGTCAGTGTGGCCGTCAGTCAGCGTGGCCATCAGTCAGCGTGGCCATCAGTCAGCGTGGCCATCAGTCAGTGTGGCCGTCAGTCAGCGTGGCCATCAGTCAGTGTGGCCATCAGTCAACGTGGCCATCAGTCAGCGTGGCCATCAGTGTGGCCATCAGCCTGTGTGGCCACATCACGTGTTTTCAGCTTTTCCACTAACTTTTTTTTTTGTTTTTTTTACCTCTGGAAGCCATTTTGAATTTCTTCATTAGAACTTTTCTAACTAATCATTTTTTTTTTTTGGTGCGGGAACCTCACAACGGCTGCATATCTAAATTCTGGCATAATATGTGTAGCCTATTGTATAATTCGATGCTGCAGCGTATAAATTTCTCACAGTGTTGTGGGAGTTACACTGAACTTTAATCCTTGTATTGAAGATTAACGTATTTATGACCGGTTGTGAACAGGTTGTGTGACCCTAGACAGCGTGTGATTACCAGTAACCAACCAACTAACCTTCAGTCTGGTCTAGGATACCTGTAAACCATTCACTCATCTCTCTCATTGCTCTAGTGTACTTGTTAACCATTCACCCTCTTTTATTTATCTCTCTCACTGCTCTAGTGTACTTGTTAACCATTCACCCTCTTTTATTTATCTCTCTCACTGCTCTAGTGTACTTGTCAACCATCAGCGCCACTCTGACGCTGCCGGTACACAGTGAACCATTACATATCTGATAAGGGGTGACATTTAACATTCTACTCCTTGCTCAGCTGGTGGATGATCACTCGCCTCGCTGGAAGGGACGACAATGTAAATTACAGTCAAGATTAATGAGCTCAAGAGCCTCCAATTTGTCTAATTTCGTAGACAGTTATAAAGCTTCTGTAACACATGACGGGAAATAATGATAGCTACATGTATTACTTGTTCTCCTGTACTGTATGTGTAATATTTATGATCTAATTAAAGTTCTAACTCTATAATATACCACAATGTGTTGATAAGTCATAACAGTGAAGTGATACCAGGTAAAATAACATCTCTTTAGCTTGTATGATCTGTGTAGGAACCTTCATCTTTATCCCTTGGCTATCTTCCACTGCCGTCTAGTATGGTAAACTGAGCTCCCACGATGACATACTGGACCCACACGACTCACACACTGACACCTCATGGAGAGATGCAGGCCATGTCTCTACAAGAACTGTTCTATCTATTAAAGAGCACACAGACTTCACTCCCGCTGTCATCAGCGTCCTGATGTGCTCACTCTGCTTTTCGATGTAAGTTTTCTCTTATATGGGAGCTGACGCTCTCACATTATAACGAAATTTTTCCACAGTTTGGTAAGACAATAAAGTTCAAGGATAATGAAACAATTCTCTATATTCTAAATATAATGCCTTATGATAATGTATAAACAAGGTTTGAATACAGATGTTTTATTGGCTTTGCTTTATCTAAGTTGAAGGAACTTAAGTTCATGATCTAATATTTCCACAACTGAAAAATACATTAATGTACGAAATAGGCTGAAAAATAAATTCAACATTCAAAATATAAACAGAGAGAGAGAGGTGTGTACCTTTCGCTGTATACACGTTGTATACACAGTGTATACACAGTGTAGAGTTTAATCCCTATTTAAGGCATTAGAGTATTCTTGACTGGTGATGCAGGGGAAACATGCAGTCTTGATGACCCTCGTGAAGTAGTTAAATTTTAAACCCAATTAACCAATTAATTAAATGCAGGAAAATATGGATACCTTTGATTATAAGCTGATATCCGATAGTAGATGTATTTTTTATTTTTATTTGAGTTCTTTGTGCAGTATCAGATGTAGTTTACGTGTGAAAAAAATATTATTAAGCATAAAATAAGGCCACTAACATGCATGCGCATGTCGGGCAGTGTATGTTTTATACATAATGTATGTTGTTATACATGATGTATGTTGTTATACATGATGTATGTTGTTTTATATGATGTATGTTGTTTTACATATTGTTTAGTATGTTGTTTTACATGATGTATAATTTACAAGGTGTGTCTCGTTGCACATTGCCTAATTCGCTTTACAGATAAATGAATGTCCATTAAGTCGTGTTGACGTGTATGAGTGATGGTAATGACGTGAGTGAGAGTAACGAGATGTGTTTAGTGCCACGGTTTTGAAGTTACAAGGTCAACACTGAAGTCAACACGAGGAGTGTGCATTGTTTCTAAGCTGCTAGATGTCACAAGGTCAGTACTGAGGTCAGAGAGGAGTGTGTCGTGTTTTGAAGTCGCTAGATGTCACCTGGATATCACAGTATCGATACAGACGTCAAAGTAATTTTTTTTAGGTATTTGTATGCATCTTTGTACTAGTGTTTTGTAATTTTATTCTTTATCTTCGTCTCATGAAATAGTTCTCTCTGTTAATCAGATAAACTGAGTGACATGTAACACTAGGGTGTATATAACATAGAAGGTCTGTGGAGAGTACCTTGTTGACATGACCTTAAGTAAGACTTTTAACAGAGTGCCACACAAACGAATGATGAAGAGAGTGGCACTTACTAGTGAAGTGGCACTACACTATACTGGTGGAGAGTGGCACTACACTATACTGGAGGAGAGTGGCACTACACTATACTGGTGGAGAGTGGCACTACACTATACTGGTGGAGAGTGGCACTACACTATACTAGAGGAGAGTGGCACTACACTATACTGGTGGAGTGGCACTACACTATACTGGAGGAGAGTGGCACTACACTATACTGGAGGAGTGGCACTACACTATACTGGTGGAGAGTGGCACTACACTATACTGGAGGAGAGTGGCACTACACTATACTAGAGGAGAGTGGCACTACACTATACTGGTGGAGAGTGGCACTACACTATACTAGAGGAGAGTGGCACTACACTATACTGGTGGAGTGGCACTACACTATACTGGAGGAGAGTGGCACTACACTATACTGGAGGAGTGGCACTACACTATACTGGTGGAGAGTGACTCTACACTATAATGGTGGAGAGTGGCGCTACACTATACTGGTGGAGAGTGGCACTACACTATACTGGTGGAGAGTGGCACTACACTATACTGGTGGAGAGTGGCACTACACTGTACTGGAGGAGTGGCACTACACTATACTGGTGGAGAGTGGCACTATACTATACTGGTGGAGTGGCACTACACTATACTGGTGGAGAGTGGCACTACACTATACTGGTGGAGAGTGGCACTACACTATACTGGTGGAGAGTGGCACTACACTATACTGGTGGAGAGTGGCACTACACTATACTGGTGGAGAGTGGCACTACACTATACTGGTGGAGAGTGGCACTACATTGTACTGGAGTAGAAGTTCTGTTGGCTGAAACATGACTGACTAATAGGAAACAGAAAGTCTCCAAGAATCGGAAGAATTCAGATAAGTGAGGAGTGACAAGTGCCCACAGGATGGGTATGGGGTGCATAATAAAGATATTAAACTAACCCTTGGAGTTAATGCAAAATGAGGCTCTCAGAATTATTCGTGGCTGTCCCAAATCTACAAAGGTTCTTAATATGAGGAAGGAGCTTGATATTTTTAGTGTCAGTGATAGGATTATTGAGATTAACACTGTACCCGGTATTAAAATGTTAAGAAATGAACCAGACACTGTCACTAAGAATCTTACTAAAAGTCTACAGTAAGTACACATAGATCTAAATGGATTGTGAACACATGCAATTATATTAAGTTTTACAACCTGCATGAACTGTATCACTGTAGACAACAAGAGCATTTCACCCCTCCATGGAAGATGTGTTCATTTAATATCACATACCTGCAAGTCCTTCCCAAGAAGCTCATTGCCAGAATTCATTACCTTTGTAACTTGTGAGCTCATTACCTTTGTACCTAGTTCAGCTATCAAAACTTTGGGGGCCCAGTCCCTGGACCCATTACGTACCTCTGTAATCTGTAAATACCTTTGTAACTTGTCATGATTGTGACCAGACCTACCTGGAGTTCATTACCTTTGTAAATTGTGAGTTCATTACCTTTGTAAATTGTGAGTTCATTACCATTGTAAATTGTGAGTTCATTACCTCTGTAACTTGCTCAGCTATCAAAACTTTGGAGTCCAGTCCCTGGACCAATTATGTACCTCTGTAATCTTTGGACTACCGCCCACAGGATGGGTATGGGGTGCATAATAAACATATTAAACTAACTTAAACTAACAGGTGGAGCGCCGCCACGAAGGTCATTACTAGGCTCCTCGTTTCCAATTTTCACGAACCTTCTGAACGTGGGAATACAGAGTGACATGAACCAGTTCCTTGACAAAACAATAACGACAGATAAATTATAGAGCGGACTGCACGGAGCCTCAAGAGAGTTTAGATACCTTAATATGATCAGAATACTCGTAGATTGCAGTTCATTATGAAGAATGTGAAATCTTAATTTTTTTCTTGGGGGGGGGGGGAGAAAATAACAGCAAAACAAATAAGCTATAGGATCCAGCGGGGCCGCATGCGGCAGAGTTCTAGCTAACAAATCTGAAGTCAGATTAAAAATATGCATAAGAGTTTGCAATAAAGGTATTAAACCGCTTGGCTTCATAATAAGTTTAGTACCAGAACTCCCAAGATTTTAGCACAGCTTTATACATCGCTGATAAAGCCTCAGGTAAAGTTAGCGACCCAGTATAACTTTACACATTGTAGAATAGATAACAAACAAGAGAAGTATTGTAAAGGTAATCCCGTCTTTCAGAAATTTTCCAAAGAACAGAAGCACTGAAATTCTTGCACTTCAACATCTAAGTGGTGTGCGATAACTAGAGCAAGATTCATGCAGCTATTGGTATATGCAGGTGCACTTTGACGAAAGATATAGAACCTTTTCAAAGATCCCTGAAGTGGGTCTGATAACCTTAAAAATTCTCTGCTGCTTGGCTTTAAACATTCAAAAATGATAACATCTACTACGAGGACAGCGACGAGTGAAACTAAGTTGTGAGGCTGCGCAGAGACCAATTGTATCTGCCAGGTAGTGTTCAATTTTTATTCCCATTAATCATGTTAAGTATTGCTGATTTTTCTTCTTAATGGTAATAATGTTGGTAGAATTACGGACAATATGAAGGTAAAAGGACACAAGTGCAACTAATGTGACATTTTATTGTAGCAACATTTCCCTCTCCAGGAGCTCCGTCAAGCCGTTACAAACATTACATGGACACAGAGGGGTGTATATATATAATATATATATATATATATATATATATATATATATATGTATATATATATATATATATATATATATATATATATATATATATATATATATATATATGCATCTCACTCTGTAGAATATTTGAGCAAGTGCTCAGTGTAGTCTCACGGCGGGCTGACAGACTGCACTGTCCCATGGATGAGAATCATCCTCCATGATGGTGGTTAATTTTCTCATTAATGAGAACCATCCTGCATGACGGCTTCACAGCGCCATCACTCAGTGGATATGCTACAGTAACTATAATTAGTTATTTTGGTCGACCTTCTAACCCTGATGCAGCTCATAGTAGGGCAGCCGCATACTGCACCTTCACAACTGATTATAAAAATAGACTACCAGGAGTAAGGGTGTCCAGGCGTTTGTTGGCTTCAAGTGGAGACTCGAGACGCAGAGAAGAATCTGGGATACTGAATTTGACGACATCTAGACGAGTACCAACACGAAGCGTGTGTCTCGCGCTCAGCAAATGGAGGATGAACACAACTCCCTGCACATGAAAACACCAGATTCCTCACACACAGAACAAAACACGAGGTAGACAGGATTAGCGCATGGGAACTATTATGGTGTATAAAAACCAATGCCAGCAAGTCTAATATTATCTTTTTCCATAAAAGACGAGGCATCACTGCTCCTGTCGAACTCGGAACCAGTGTCTCACGAACACCTATACCAGGCACACCTTCCACAGTCGTACTTGGGGTCAACCTTGATTCCAAGTTGCGTATGAAAGTAAGCATCACTTCTAAGACAGCTCTACAAGCTAAGAGGTGAACGTCCCGCCACGAAACTATTTACACACTGCTATCATCAGACCTCTCATCACTTATACTCCACTTGCTTTAACACTGACTGCTAAGACTAACGCATTACAGCTACAACGTATCCAGAACCGGGCATTGCGGTGGGTGCTGGGCGTGAGGTAGCAGGGTAGCAGGACTACGCCACATGCGAGTCACTCCACCTCAGGACTGGCATACCAGCTCTGAATGTGTTTTGAAAAACACTTAGCGATAGACAGCTCGATAGACTAGAGAAACACCATGACTGTCGGACTTTCTTCCTTGACAACACTTTCAGACGCCCTAACAATCCTGAAAACCTCTTCAGAGCTCTTGACAATCCTGTTCTTCCACCACTTTACACTTAACTTTCCCTAGCCACTTATCTTGCTCGTTTTGAAGCACTTTCTTGTTCTTTTCTTGCACTTTTTTCATGCTTTTTGTACCTATATGATCTTAAAGTAATTACCATCCTTTGCTTTTAATTCTTATATCTCTCCATCTTCTCTTTTCAAATGCCATAGCCGTAGAGGGGCGTCTGTACAGCTCAGTTGAATAGCTTACCTAGTGTCGTTTGGTGCCACCACACAGTCCGACATTTTGCCAGACTTGCGCTACCAGTCTTGCTGAAGAGAAGAGACGATGATGAGCACCAACCCAAGTCTTACATAATACTTTACAATGCCCTTGGTGTTGGGTCTGACCCAGACTCTTTTCATTTCTCTGTAATTCTTTACTCTCCACCATCTATTCTTTAACTATCCCTATTTCCCCTCACCACTAGTTGGTCCTTACCTGTGAGTCCCTTCTGTTTTTGTTCTGGAGGATCAATCCTCCGCATGGGCTTAGCGCTTAACAATAATTATTTAATTTTAATTTAATCCTTAACCTCAGGTCAAAACCTACAGTGTTTATTATTAGTATTATTGTTGTATTCAATGGGAAAAGCGCTAAGCCTATTTTTTGTGATGACACTAACAAACATGCATTTTGCATAGGTCGCGTCTTCTCAAAATCCTATATCTCAATACAGTGTGGATGGCAGTAGACCTACTCGCTGTTCCATTACCATAGGTATCTTACAATGCCCGGGGAAGACAGTAACTGCTGCTTCTTGGATGAAGAGGTTTCTGCCGGCATCAAGATGCCGCACTTGAAGCAACACAGAGCGTTAACCCACAGATTCGACTTAAACTTTCGAGTGCTTCTTGGTCCTGTATCGTTCTCCCAGGACGATGATGACGGTGAGGAGACCAAGACCAATAAATAGAGAGAATATGATGGTGGTGGTCGGGGTGTTCATGATGAAAAGCAAAATCTTGAGTTGTCTGGCCATGTCTGGGGGTAACTGAGCCGTCTCCTCGAACCACAGCAATGGTAAGTATACCTCCGTCACCTCGCTGAGGATGCTGCCAAAACAGAGGGAGAGATACAGAGAGGGAGAGATACAGAGAGTGAGAGATACAGAGAGGGAGAGATAAAGAGAGTGAGAGATACAGAGAGTGAGAGATACAGAGAGTGAGAGATACAGAGAGTGAGAGATACAGAGAGGGAGAGATACAGAGAGGGAGAGATACAGAGAGTGAGAGATACAAAAGGGAGAGATACAGAGAGGGAGAGATACAGAGAGTGAGAGATACAGAGAGGGAGAGATACAGAGAGTGAGAGATACAGACAGCGAGAGATACAGACAGGGAGAGATACAGAGAGTGAGGGATACAGAGAGTGAGAGATACAGACAGGGAGAGATACAGAGAGGGAGACATACAGGGAGGGAGAGATACAGAGAGTGGGAGATACAGAGAGTCAGAGAGATACAGAGAGTGAGAGTATAAGAGAGTGAGGGATAAAGGAGTGAGAGATACAGAGAATGAGAGATACAGAGAGAGATACAGAGAGATACAGAGAGTGAGAGAGAGAGAGATACAGAGAGTGAGAGACACAGGAAAAAGATGCAGAGGGGAGAGATGCAGAGAGTGAGAGATACAGAGGGTGAGAGATACAGAGTGAGGGATACAGAGAGTGAGGGATACAGTGGGTGAGAGATACAGAGAGTGAGAGATACAGAGAGAGAGAGAGAGAGAGAGAGAGAGAGATAGAGAGTGAGATAGAGAGAGAGAGAGAGGAGAGAGACGAGAGAGAGAGAGAGAGAGAGAGAGAGAGAGTGAGAGAGAGAGAGAGAGAGATGAGAGAGAGAGGGAGAGAGAGAGAGTGAGATACAGAGAGTGACAGATACAGACAGGAGAGATACAGAGTGAGGGATACAGAGAGTGAGAGATACAGAGAGTGAGAGATACAGAGAGAGTATATATAGAGAGTGAGAGATACAGAGAGTGAGATACAGAGAGTGAGAGATACAGAGAGGGAGAGATGACGAGAGTGAGATATACAGACAGCGAGAGATACAGACAGGGAGAGATACAGAGAGGGAGAGATACAGAGAGTGAGAGATACAGAGAGTGAGAGATACAGAGAGTGAGAGATACAGACAGCGAGAGATACAGACAGCGAGAGATACAACAGTGATGAGATGCAGAGAGTGAGGGATACAGAGAGTGAGAGATTACAGAGAGTGAGAGATACAGAGAGGGAGAGATACAGAGAGAGAGAGAGATACAGGGAGTGAGAGATACAGATAGTGAGAGATTACAGAGAGAGAGATACAGAGAGTGAGAGATACAGACAGGGAGAGATACAGAGAGTGAGGGATACAGAGAGGGAGAGATACAGAGAGTGAGAGATACAGAGAGGGAGAGATACAGAGAGTGAGAGATACAGAGAGTAAGAGATGCAGAGAGGGATATATGCAGAGAGTGAGAGATACAGAGACTGAGATACAGAGAGTGAGAGATACAGACAGCGAGAGATACAGAGAGTGAGAGATACAGAGAGTGAGGGATACAGAGAGTGAGAGATACAGAGAGTGAGAGATACAGAGAGTGAGAGATACAGAGAGAGAGATACAGAGAGTGAGAGATACAGACAGGGAGAGATACAGAGAGTGAGGGATACAGAGAGGGAGAGATACAGAGAGTGAGAGATACAGAGAGGGAGAGATACAGAGAGTGAGATATACAGAGATGTAAGAGATGCAGATAGGGAGATATGCAGAGAGTGAGAGATACAGAGACTGAGATACAGAGAGTGAGAGATACAGACAGCGAGAGATACAGAGAGTGAGAGATACAGAGAGTGAGGGATACAGAGAGTGAGAGATACAGAGAGTGAGAGATACAGAGAGTGAGAGATACAGAGAGGGAGAGATACAGAGAGTGAGAGATACAGAGAGTGAGAGATACAGAGAGAGAGAGATACAGAGAGTGAGAGATACAGAGAGTGAGGGATACAGAGGGTGAGAGATACAGAGAGTGAGAGATACAGAGAGTGAGAGATACATAAAGGGAGAGATACAGAGAGGAAGAAATACAGAGAGGGTGACATGAAGAGAGGGAGAGATACAGAGAGGGAGAGATACAGAAAGGGAGAGATACAGAAAGGGAGAGATACAGAGAGGTAGAGAAAACAGTGATAGATAATGGGACAATGAACGACAAATAACCTTCACATACGTCAGTTTTTAGATACATAATTTAATGACTTAGTGATTTAATTTGATAATATGAATCTGAAATGTAATTATCGTCACGTTGAAGTTGTGTGAAAATATGCTAAGAGAGAGTCACGCATGTGTATACATTATCAACACATTAAAGTAGTCAGACATGAGAATGATGCAGCAGGAAACCACCTTCACCCATGAACAGTATAAGACACTGTGTACCGTGTACCTCAGGCCCATACTGGAGTACGCAGCACCAGTATGGGACCCACACCTGGTCAAGCACGTCAAGAAATTAGAGAAAATGCGAACTTTTGCAACAAGACTAGTCCCGGAGCTATGGGGCAGGTGCTACGAGGATAGTTTAAGGGAAATCAACCTGACGACACTGGGGGCGGATATGATAACGACATATTAAATGCTGAGCGGATTTGACAAGGTGGATAGCGATAGAAAGTTCAAGAGATGGGACATAGCAGCAAGGGGTCACAGCTGGAAGCTGAAAATTCAGATGAGTCACAGGGATGTCAGGAAATGTTTCTTCAGTCAGTGAGTTATCATGAAGTGGAACAATCTAGAGTGATGTAGTGGAGGCAGGTTCCATACACAGCTTTAAGAAGAGGTTTGGTAAAGCTCATGGAGAAGGGAGAGAGTGGGCGTAGTAGCGTCCAGCAAAGAGGCAGGGCCAGGAGCTATGACTTAACCTCTGCAACCACAACTAGGTTAGTAACTAAGTGAGCACACACACACGCACACATACACACACACACACACACACACACACACACACACACACACACACACATAGCAGCGAAAGCCAAATCTGACCCAAAACTGTTGTACAGCCACATCAGGAGGAAAACAACAGTCAAGGACCAGGTAATCAGGCTAAGGAAGGAAGGAGGAGAGTCAACAAGAAATGACCGTGAAGTATGTGAAGAACTCAACAAGAGATTCAAAGAAGTGTTCACAGAGGAGACAGAAGGGACTCCAGAAAGACGGAGAGGTGGGGCACACCACCAAGTGCTGGAACAGTGCACACCACCGAGGAAGAAAGTGAAGAGGCTTCTGAGTGAGCTAGATACCTCAAACGCAATGGGGCCAGATAACATCTCCCCATGGGTTTTGAGAGAGGGAGCAGAGGTGCTATGTGTACCCCTAACAACAATATTCAATACATCTATCGAAACAGGGAGATTGCCTGAGGCATGGAAGACAGCAAATGTAGTCCCAATCTTTAAAAAAGGAGACAGACATGAAGCATTAAACTACAGACCAGTGTCACTGACATGTATAGTATGCAAAATCATGGAGAAGATTATCAGGAGAAGAGTGGTGGAACACCTAGAAAGGAACGATCTCATCAACAGCAGCCAACATGGTTTCAGGGACGGGAAATCCTGTGTCACAAACCTACTGGAGTTCTATGACATGGTGACAGCAGTAAGACAAGAGAGAGAGGGGTGGGTGGATTGCATTTTCTTGGACTGTAAGAAGGCGTTTGACACAGTTCCACACAAGAGATTGGTGCAAAAACTGGAGAACCAAGCAGGGATAACAGGGAAGGCACTACAATGGATCAGGGAATACTTGTCAGGAAGAAATGACCGTGAAGTATGTGAAGAACTCAACAAGAGATTCAAAGAAGTGTTCACAGAGGAGACAGAAGGGACTCCAGAAAGACGGAGAGGTGGGGCACACCACCAAGTGCTGGACACAGTGCACACCACCGAGGAAGAAGTGAAGAGGCTTCTGAGTGAGCTAGATACCTCAAAGGCAATGGGGCCAGATAACATCTCCCCATGGGTATTGAGAGAGGGAGCAGAGGTGCTATGTGTACCCCTAACAACAATATTCAATACATCTATCGAAACAGGGAGATTGCCTGAGGCTGGAAGACAGCAAATGTAGTCCCAATCTTTGAAAAAGGAGACAGACATGAAGCATTAAAACTACAGACCAGTGTCACTGACATGTATAGTATGCAAAATCATGGAGAAGATTATCAGGAGAAGAGTGGTGGAACACCTAGAAAGGAACGATCTCATCAACAGCAGCCAACATGGTTTCAGGGGACGGGAAATCCTGTGTCACAAACCTAACTGGAGTTCTATGACATGGGACAGCAGTAAGACAAGAGAGGAGGGGTGGGTGGATTGCATTTTCTTGGACTGCAAGAAGGGACGTTGACACAGTTCACACAGAGAGAGATTGGTGCAAAAAGGAGGACCAAGAGGGATAACAGGGAAAGGGCACTACAATGGATCAGGGAATACTTGTCAGGAAGACAGCAGCGAGTCATGGTACGTGGCGAGGTGTCAGAGTGGGCACTGTGACCAGCGGTGGAGTCCACAGAGGGGTCATCCTAGGACAGTGCTGTTTCTGGATTTGTGAACGACATGACGGAAGGAATAGACTCTGAGGTGTCCCTGTTTGCAGATGACGTGAAGTTGATGAGAAGAATTCACTCGATCGAAGACCAGGCAGAACTACAAAGGGATCTGGACAGGCTGCAGACCTGGTCACAATTGGGCTCCGGATTTCAATCCCACCAAGTGCAAAGATCATGAAGATGGGGAAGGGCAAGAAGACCCAGACGGAGTACAGTCTAGGGGGCCAGAGACTACAAACCTCACTCAAGGAAAAGATCTTGGGTGAAGTAATACACCAGGCACATTCCAGAAGCGCACATCAACCAAATAGCTGCTGCGTATGGGGCTGCAAGCCTCAGAACAGCATTCCTACATCTTAATAAGGAATCATTCAGACCCCATTACACCGTGTACGTAGGCCCATATTGGAGTATGCGGCACCAGTTTGGAACCCACACCTAGCCAAGCACGTGAAGAAACTAGAGAAAGTGCAAAGGTTTGCAACAAGACTAGTCCCAGAGCTAAGAGGTCATGTCCTACGAGGAGAGGTTAAGGGAAATCAACCTGACGACATGGAGGACAGGAGAGATACGGGGGGGACATGATAACGACGTACAAAATACTGAGAGGAATTGACAAGGTGGACAAAGACGGATGCTATCCAGAGATTGGACACAGTAACAAGTGGACACAGTTGGAAGCTGAAGACACAGATGAATCACAGGGATGTTAGGAAGTATTTCTTCAGCCACAGAGTAGTCCGTAAGTGGAATAGTTTGGGAAGCGATGTAGTGGAGGCAGAATCCATACATAGCTTTAAGCAGAGGTATGATAAAGCTCACGGCCAGGGAGAGTGACCTAAATAGCGATCACAAGAGGCGGGGCCAGGAGCCGGACTCGAAACCCCCCCAACCTCAACTAGGTGAGTACACACACACACACACAACGGCAAAGGACCCGAAAGAACAAGGAGAGTAGTCGAAGAGAAAGAAATGAATATGCACAGATAAGGAGAGAGGCTCAGCGACAACGACATAGAAGAAAAGCCAAGGCTGACCCGAAGCTGTTAGAGAGAGGGGTGGGTGGACTGCATTTTCTTGAACTGCATGAAGGTTTTTGACACAGTTCCACACAAGAGATTAGGGCAAAAGCTGGAGGACCAGGCAAGTATAACAGGGAAGGCACTGCAATGGATCAGAGAATACCTGTCGGGAAGGCATCAGCAAGTCATGGTACGTGATGAGGTGTCAGAGTGGGCGCCTGTGACGAGCGGGGTTCCACAGGTGTCAGTCCTAGGACCAGTGCTGTTTCTGGTATTCGTGAACGACATGACGGAAGGAATAGAGTTAGTTAGAAGTGTCCCTGTTTGCAGATGATGCGAAGTTAATGAGGAGAATTCAGTCAGAGGAGGACAAGGCTGCAA